ATACAAGCTGATACTATTATTATTATTATTATTATTATTATTATTATTATTATTATTATCAACAACAACAACAACAACACTCAAAATTTGCATATGCATAATGAGATATCCTGGAGGATGAGCCCAGGTTTCAACACATTTGTTTTATTTCACATCAAACTTATTATAAACGCAGCCTGAAGGTTATTTCATTCACAACACGAAATCAATGCATGATGTACACACACCTTAGACGCATAGCCTGAAGGTCATTTTAGTTGATCTGTACTATTTACATGCACATCTATGTATAATGAGAGATCTTGGAGATGGGATCCAAGTCTAAACATGATATGCATTTACATTTCCTAAAGGCGATATTTGTAATTATCTTGTGCATGAAGCAAAGTTTGTGTGGAAAGAAACGATCAGCAAGCAAAGGGGTCACACTCTCTCAGCCTCCCATTTTGGAATATTTGGGCATTCTAAGAATGAATAAAGCAGCTATGCTGTCAGTCACATATTTGAAGGAGGGATAGAAGGATGGATAGATGGAAGGAGACAGGATGGATTGATAAAAATAGGGAGAGACTATGGATAGATAGATAGATAGATACATAGATAGATACATAGATAGATAGACAATTAAAAAGGGGGGATAAATTGATAGAAAAAGGGACAAAGGAGAGAGAAAAGAAAGAAAGGATAAAGGAAGGACAGATAGATAAAAGAAGGAAGGATGGGTGAGTGAATAAGTGAAAGGATGGAGAGAGGGAAGAGAAAGATGATATAGATATAGGAAGGATTTGATGGAGGATGGATGTAGGAAGGGAGGATGGAGAAATGGATAGATAGAATGAAGGAGAGATGGATAGATAGAATGAAAGAAAGATAGATGATAGATAGATGATAGATAGATGATAGATAGATAGATGATAGATAGATAGATAGATGATAGATAGATAGATGATAGATAGATGATAGATAGATAAGAAGAGGGATGGGTTGATAAAGGAAGGATGAATGGACAGAGGAGGGAAGAGGGAGGAAAGAAGGATGGATAGATGGATAGATGGATAGATGGATAGATGGATAGATGGATAGATGGATAGATGGATAGATGGATAGATAGATAGATGGATAGATAGATAGATAGATAGATAGATAGATAGATAGATAGATGATAGATAAGAAGTGGATGGATTGATAGAGGATGGATGGATGGAAGGAAGAACAGATATATAAAGGAAGAACTAGAGGATGAGTAAGTGAAGAGAAGGAGGGTGGAGAGATTGATAGATAGTTAGAGAGTTAGAGAGATAGAGATAGATAAATAAATAAATAGAGAGAGAGAGATAAGAAGGGGATGGATTGATAGAGGATGGATCAAAGGAAGGAAGAACAGATATATAAAGGAAGGAATAGAGGATGAGTGAGTAAGTGAAGAGAGGGAGGATGGAGAGATGGATGGATGGATAGACAAATAGAGAAGGGGATGGATTGATAAAGGATGGAAGGAAGGAAGAACAGATAGGAAGGAAGAAGAGATATATAAAGGAAGGAATAGAGGATGAGTGAGTAAGTGAAGAGAGGGAGGATGGAGGGATGGATGGATGGATGGATAGAGAAGGATGGATTGATAAAGGATGGAAGGAAGGAAGAACAGATAGGAAGGAAGAAGAGATATATAAAGGAAGGAATAGAGGATGAGTGAGTAAGTGAAGAGAGGAAGGATGGAGAGATAGATAGATAGATAAGATAGATAGATAGATAGATAGATAGATAGATAGATAGATAGATAGATGAGAAGGGGATGGATTGATAGAGGATGGATGGAAGAAAGGAAGAACAGATAGGAAGGAAGAAGAGATATATAAAGGAAGGAATAGAGGATGAGTGAGTAAGTGAAGAGAGGAAGGATGGAGAGATAGATAGATAGATAAGATAGATAGATGAGAAAGGGGATGGATTGATAGAGGATGGATGGAAGAAAGGAAGAACAGATAGGAAGGAAGAAGAGATATATAAAGGAAGGAATAGAGGATGAGTGAGTAAGTGAAGAGAGGGAGGATGGAGAGATAGATAGATTAGATAGATAGATAGATAGATAGATAGATAGATAGATAGATAGATGAGAAGGGGATGGATTGATAAAGGATGGATGGAAGAAAGGAAGAACAGATAGGAAGGAAGAAGAGATATATAAAGGAAGGAATTATTTATTTATTTATTTATTTACTTTGCTTATATACCGCTGTTCTCAGCCCAGGGGCTGAGAACAGAGGATGAGTCAGTAAGAATAGAGGATGAGTGAGTAAGTGAAAAGAGGGAGGATGGAGAGAAAATAGATAATTAGATAGATAGACAGTTAAATCGTTAGTTAGATCGTTAATTAGTTAGATAGTGAGATAGATAGATAGATAGATAGATAGATAGATAGATAGATAGATAGATAGTGAGAGAGTGAGTTAGAGAGTGAGTGAGTCAGAGAGTCAGAGAAAGAGTTAGAGAATGAGTTAGAGAATGAGTTAGAGAAAGAGAGAGAGAGTGAGTGAGACAGTGAGTTAGAGAGTCAGAGAGTGATAGAGTTAGAGTGAAAGAGAGTGAGAGAGTGAGTTAGAGAGTGAGAGAGAGTTAGAGAGTTAGTGAGTTAGAGAGTCAGAGGGTGAGAGAGTTAGAGAAAGAGTTAGAGAAAGAGTTAGAGAGTGAGAGAGTGAGTTAGAGAGTGAGAGAGTGAGTTAGAGAGTTAAATAGAGAGCTAGTTAGAGAGATAGGCAACAAGAGGGGTGGATTGATAGAGGAACTATGAATGGACAGAGGAGGGAAGGAAGGAAAGAGACAGACAGAGGAAGGGTGGGTGAAGGAAGGGAAGGAGGGAGGATGAAGAGAAAGAGGAGGAAAGATGGTATAGATATATCGTGGATAGATAGATGGAGGATGGATAAAGGAAGAGGATAGATGGATGGAGATAGAGAGATAGGTAGGTAGGTAGATAGATAGATGGATGGATGGATAGATAGATAGATAGATAGATAGAGAGAGGAGGGAGGATCATATAGGGAGAAAAGATGAAGAGAGAAGGAAGGAAGATGAACAAATAATGTAAAGGCTTTTCCTTCCTTCTCATAGACTCCTAGCTGTGGAAGGGCCTTCCAGAGGCTATCTAGTCTGACCTCCTTCTGCCAGGCAGGATGCCACCACCCAACCCCTCCCATGCTATTACACCATTGAATATAATGGGACTGAGCTCAATATATTGAGCTGCCCAAAAACCCATGGAATTCCTCCAAAGGCATTTCCCATATTAATTTTGGAAACACTAAAAGGTCGAGGCGTGCCATACCTGTTGATGGAGCTGATCCTCTGGGCCGGGCTCTGTCTTCTGGTGCTTGCCATTCATGCACATGTTCAGCACCGACTCCTTTGCAGCCAAAGCAGCCAAAATGGGGAGCAAAAAGCAGGAAAGGACCAAGCGAGGGGCTGCCATCTCCCTGGGGGAGAAGAGGGAGAAATTGGGGGGCAAAACAAGGCAAAAACAGGGAGCAGCAAGGCTAGAAACCTGATATTCTTGTCCCTTTGCAGGGACCAAGGCTTATACTTCCTCGGAGGCTTTGAAACAGAGGCTGGATGGCTATCTGTTGGGAGTGCTTGGATTATGCTCTTCCTGCATGGCAGAAAGAAAGGGGTTGGACTAGATACCCTTTGGGGTCCCTCCCAACTCTATTATACTACAATTCTAAGCATCATCTTTGAGTATAACTGCAACTTCCAAAGGAGATTGCAGCAGATTTTGCTTGCAAACTGAGTCATTGCAGTTTTAACCAAAGCAAAAACAAAACACCACAGTCCACTTTTTAGTCATCATGTCTAACAATGAGTAATCCTGTTAAGTTTTTGTCATGGGATCTTTAATAGTAGAATAATATATAGTAGGCTCCCCGTTATCCAGAACTCGAGCAACCAGAAACCTCAAACAACTGATTGATATATATATATATATATATATATATATATATATATATATATACATACATACACAATATTACAGTATAGTGGTAGAGTGCAATATAGTAATATATAATACTAATATTGTGCTGTGCTAATAATATAATATATTGTATACACATATAATATTGATAACAATGCTATAATGCAATACAATACTAATAATAATACAATATAATTATATATTTCATATTACATGTAATATTAATAATATTACAGTATACTGGCATAGTACACTATGGGAATTTACAAATCATAGAATCAAAGAGTTGGAAGAGACCTCCTGGGCCATCCAGGCCAACCCCATTCTGCCAAGAAGCAGGAATATTGCATTCAAATCACCCCAGACAGATGGCCATCCAGCCTCTGTTTAAAAGCTTCCAAAGAAGGAGCCTCCACCACACTCCGGGGCAGAGAGTTCCACTGCTGAACAGCTCTCAAAGTCAGGAAGTTCTTCCTCATGTTCAGATGGAATCTCCTTTCTTGTAGTTTGAAGCCAAGCCATTGTTCCATGTCCTAGTCTCCAAGGAAGCAGAAAACAAGCTTGCTCCCTCCTCCCTGTGGCTTCCTCTTACATATTTTTGTATGGCTATCATATCTCCTCTCATCCTTCTCTTCTTCAGGCTAAACATGCCCAGCTCCTTAAGCTGCTCCTCTTAGGCCTTGTTCTCCAGACCCTTGATCATTTTAGTCGCCCTCCTCTGGACACATTCCAGCTTGTCAATATCTCTCTTGAATTGTGGTGCCCAGAATTGGACACAATATTCCAGGTGTGGTCTAACCAAGGCGGAATAGAGCATGGGGAGCATGACTTCTCTGGACCTAGACACTATGCTCCTCTTGATGCAGGCCAAAATCCCATTGGCTTTTTTTGCCGCCACATCACATTCCTGGCTCATGTTTAACTTGTTGTCCACGAGGACTCCAAGATCTTTTTCACACGTACTGCTCTCGAGCCTGGCATCATCGTCCCCCATTCTGTATCTTTGGATTTCGTTTTTTTCCTGCCAAAGTGGAGTAGCTGCATTTGGTACTAATATTGCGCTATGCTAATAATATAATATATTGTATTTACATATAACTTATAAGCCACTCTGAGTCTCCTTCGGGGTGAGAAGGGCGGCATATAAATGTCGCAAATAAATAAATAGAATTTATATAATTATTGTTGTTGTTGTTGCTGTGATTTCCCCATATGACAAGAGTCTAGCCCCTATCATGCAACGATATAATAAACATAGAGGAATGATTATTATCATTATTTATCTATTATTATTATATTGTTGCATGATTATTATTGTTATTATTGCTATTATTTTGCAGTATGATACAGGACTCTAGCCACTATCATGCAACAATATAATAAGAATATAATAATTATTTTTGTTATTATATATATATATATATAATAATAATTATATATATATATATATAATATAATATAAATAATAATACAGTAAATAACTACTGTAAGTTAAATATGTTATATATAAAAATAGAAAATATTAATTAAATATATATAAATTATATATAATATAATAATAAATATAATATAAATAATATATATGGTAAATAAAGAATACTGCAAGTGAAATAAATACATTATATATAAAGAAATAGAAAATATTAATTAATTAAATATATATAAATTATATATAACATAATAATAAATATAATATAATATAAATAATAAATATGGTAAATAAATAATACTTCAAGTTAAATAAATACAGTTTATATAAAGAAACAGAAAATATTAATGAATTAAATATATATAAATTATATTTAGCATAATAATAGATATAATATAATATAAATAATAAATATGGTAAATAAATAATACTGTAAGACCGCGTTGAGTCGCCGGTTAGGCTGAGAAACGGCGGTATACAAATATAGCAAATAAATAAATAAATAAATACATTATATATAAAGAAATAAATATTAATTAAATAAATATATATAAATTATATATAACATAATAATAAATATAATATAATACAAATAATAAATATGGTAAATAAATAATACTTCAAGTTAAATAAATAATACTTCAAGTTAAATAAATACAGTATATATAAAGAAACAGAAAAAAATTAATTAATTAAACAATTTAACAAAAATGTAAATTAAAGTCATGCTTGCCTTATTTATTGGATTTCAATGGCTTCTCTGTGTAGTAATTCACAAGCATGTGGACAATTTCAACAGAAAGGAGGAAACCATGAAAATGAACAAAATCTGGCTACCAGTATTAAAAAAAACTCTAAAATTAGAACAGCACAACAACAGAGAGGAAACAAACAAGGACATCTAATCACCTCTCAACAAAAGATTGCTCCAGGCACTGCCAGGCAATCAAATCAGTTGAAACATTCACACCTAGCTCCAGCAGACAAGAGTCCTTTGTCCCACCCTGGTCATTCCACAGTTATATAAACCCAATTTTCCTAGTTCCAACAGACCTTGCTACCTCTGAGGATGCTTGCCATAGATGCAGGTGAAACGTCAGGAGAGAATGCCTCTAGAACATGGCCATATAGCCTGAAAAATCCTACATCAACCCAATCCCAGGCACTTTCCTCATACCCCATCTCCCAGCCATTCCCATATCAAGGGACCCATCCCTAAAACAGGTAGCCCCATCCCTTGCATACCTGAATGCAAATCCAAACTCTCCCTGGAAGCCTTGGCCCGCCTTGCAGGAGTGTTTTAATACCTTCTGGCCTTCCTACTGCCTTTGGTGAGGCTCACCTGTGGCCAGCCAAACTCCCAATTATCAGGAGCGCAGCTGGGATGGATTTCTGATTTCCAAGGAGCAGGATCCAAAGATCAGCCTGGAGGCCTTTGGTCAATGATTGCAGAAAGAGAGACACCGAGCAATTCCTTGGCAGGAAAAGAAGTGTTTCCCTTTCTCCTCCCGATAACTAAGGAAAGACCTTAAAGACCACTAAAGGTCATTTCTAGACATCTGGAAGCACTGACTGCTTCAAACTGTCCAAACTCCAGTCAGGACAAAGCCAATCAATTCCATTATTCCTACTGCTTTTCAAGACTGGATCTACACTGATCTATTACAAGATATCTCACAATTTTTGTGCTTGGGTTGAGGTCGAACCCAGAACTCCAAGTCTTCAAGCTGATCTGATCTGCAGCAGGGAGTTCCTCAGTTCTTCATTGCCCTGCTTGGGCCAACCTGCATGAACGTGGCCACAGCAGCAGCTGCAACCCAGAAGCCTTCTTATTTCTTCGCTTTCTTCCCACTTCTAACATTGTAACTAATTCCACCAATAAAAGCATAAATTAATTGTAACTTTTTTCTCTCCATAGTGTTACTTTGTGTCTTTTTATTGCCTTTAACCTCTCTCTGCATTAACCTTTCCTCTCCCTGGCTGCAGATGGCTGCCGGCCCGCCTGGGGTGCAATTTTCGAAACTGCATTCCCTTAAACCGTGGATACGGAAACCCATCAGGTCCCCGTATCCGCGAGTCAACGAATCGCTTCGAAATTGGTGTCATTCTTCTCCTGGGATAATTCTAAGACTAATGGCTATCTCAGTTTCGCTCCACTAATCCCTCCACCATGGGAATAGCCCTTTTTGCCTCTCAAACCTCGACCTGAAGATGCTGCCTCGTTGCCACCATTTTGTGGATGCCCAGGGAGCCTGCCGATCCAGGAAAACTGTCACGGTCACCCCATAGGATCCCCAAGATGTCAGCGGGCCGCTTGATTGGTCCTTGCTTCCTGGCAAAGACCCCTAAATTCTTGCTCGATATCAGGGTTGTTAATGTCATTTCCTAATTGGTTCTATCACAAAAACATGTGATATTGGGAAAAGTATTAAACTGCAAAAACTTTGTTTTTGTGGGACATCCTCCTATAGCACATTTTGCAATACTTAGACAATCCCTTGTTGTCTGAGGATGATGGTCGTCCAAATGTAGTATCTTGGCAGGTGGCTATGGAGCCCTATTCTTGACCCGCATGTTCTTCCGCAGTGAGGGCATCGGTTTCCAAGTGGAAGGTGGTCCCAGTCAAGGTTGGCTTGATGCCCCTTCCTCTTGGCACGTTTCTCCCTTTCGCCCTTCATTCATGCCTCTTTGAATTCCACAGCACTGCTGGTCTCAGCTGACCTCCAGTTAGAGCTCACAAAAATGATTATTCCCCGAGCGCAGGAGTCCAAAATGAGGAAAGCGAGATAGCAGTTAGTCTTAGAATTAATAGCAGAAAAATACTGTTTTAGTGGTTACTGGGGTCCAAAATGGCGGTTTCAGTATCCGCGAATTGGGCGAACACAGATCCAGGGTCCGGGGGGGTGCCTGGAGGCACCTCCCCGCAGGCTCACGGCTCTCCAGAGCCCGTAAAAAAGTTTGAGGTAAGGAAAGATACAAAAGTATCAAGCGGAAAGATTAAATGTTGCAAGTTTCAAGTGCCTTATTAGGGGAATGATACAATGTAAGGAGAAGGGAAAGCAAAGAAAGGCTGAGTGCAGTCTTATTATTGAGCTGCCTGCACATTTAATCTGTTTCTTCCAATTGTGACCACCAGGAACTGCGGAACTCCCCGCTGCAGCTCACACCAACGTGAAGGCAGGGCTCCCTGCCGCGCTCGGGCTCAAAATGATTTTGAGAACGGATTCTGATTTTATTGAGGCGTTGATAGGATAATTGATTGTTGTTTGTCTGTTGTATATGATGTGTTTTAACCACTTGTTATTGTTATGATAATTTGTACTGTGTAAACCGCATTGAGTCGCCGGTTTAGGCTGAAAAATGCGGTATAGAAATAAAGCAATATATATATATATATATATATATATATATATATATATATATATACATACACACACACACACACACACATACACACATATAGAAGTACAATGTTATATATATATGTGTGTGTGTGTATATATATACACACACAAGTACAATATTACAAAATTAACCTTTATTTCTACCCCACCACTATCTCCCCGAAGGGACTCGAGGCATCTCACAAAAGCACTTAAAGGTGCAAATACAAAATACATTATAGATAGATAGATAGATATAGATACATAGATGCATAGATAGGTAAAGGTAAGGTAAAGGTAGTCCCCTGACATTAAGTCCAGTCATGTCTGACTCTGGGGTGTGGTGCTCATCTCCATTTCTAAGCCGAAGAGCCAGCGTTGTCCGTAGACACCTCCAAGGTCATGTGGCCGGCATGACTGCATGGAGCACCGTTACCTTCCCGCCGGAGCGGTACCTATTGATCTACTCACATTTGCATGTTTTTCCTGATGGCAGGGCACGAGCAGGAACGAGTGGTAGCAAGGGAATAACAGGCTGCTTTCACCGAGCCAGCAGAGTTTTGGCAATCAGCTGTTTGCTGTCTAATAATAATACTTTAAACAAAATGATTATTCCCCGAGCGCAGGAGTCCAAAATGAGGAAAGCGAGATAGCAGTTAGTCTTAGAATTAATAGCAGAAAAATACAGGATTGGAACGGCGCCAATCCGCCATGTTACTGTTTTAGTGGTTACTGGGGTCCAAAATGGCGGTTTCAGTATCCGCGAATTGGGCGAACACAGATCCAGGGTCCGGGGGGTGCCTGGAGGCACCTCCCCGCAGGCTCACGGCTCTCCGGAGCCTGGAAAAAGGGTTATTTTAATGTTGAATTAGTCTGAGGCAAGGAAAGATACAAAAGTATCAAGCGGAAAGATTAAATGTTGCAAGTTTCAAGTGCCTTATTAGGGGAATGATACAATGTAAGGAGAAGGGAAAGCAAAGAAAGGCTGAGTGCAGTCTTATTATTGAGCTGCCTGCTGGGGCACATTTCATCTGTTTCTTCCAATTGTGACCACCAGGAACTGCGGAACTCCCCGCTGCAGCTCACACCAACGTGAAGGCAGGGCTCCCTGCCGCGCTCGGGCTCAAAAGGATTTTGAGAACGGATTCTGATTTTATTGAGGCGTTGATAGGATAATTGATTGTTGTTTGTCTGTTGTATATGATGTGTTTTAACCACTTGTTATTGTTATGATAATTTGTACTGTGTAAACCGCATTGAGTCGCGTTTAGGCTGAAAAATGCGGTATAGAAATAAAGCAAAAATATATATATATATATATATATATATACACACACACACACACACACACACACCCACACATACACACATATAGAAACAATTATATATATGTGTGTGTATATATATATATACACACACAAGCACACACATATACAAAATAACCTTTATTTCTACCCTACCACTATCTCCCCGAAGAGACTCAAGGCATCTCTCAAAAGCACTTAAAGGTGCAAATACAAAATACATTATAGATAGATAGATAGATATAGATACATAGATGCATAGATAGGTAAAGGTAAAGGAAGGTAGTCCCCTGACATTAAGTCCAGTCATGTCTGACTCTGGGGTGTGGTGCTCATCTCCATTTCTAAGCCGAAGAGCCAGCGTTGTCCGTAGACACCTCCAAGGTCATGTGGCCGGCATGACTGCATGGAGCGCCGTTACCTTCCGCCGGAGCGGTACCTATTGATCTACTCACATTTGCATGTTTTCGAACTGCTAGGTTGGCAGCAGCTAGGGCTGACAGCGGAAGCTCACGCCGCTCCCTGTAATTGAACCTGCGACCTTTTGGTCAACCTTTTGGTCACCTATGTGTACAAGCCCCCAAATGAAGAAAAACACAGTGGAAGATACTTAAAAAGCCTATATGTGTGTGTGTGTGTGTATACACATTACAACACATACACAAAACCACATATATACATAAATATACACACACATATACACACACACAAAACACATATACACAGAATGGGCCACAGCAACATGTGGCAGGGGACGGCTAGTAGATAGATAGATAGATAGATAGATAGATAGATAGAGAGAGAGAGAAAGAAAGAAAGATACATAGATATAGATATATAAACAAAGTATTCAGATAAAACACAATATGAAACAAACTTGGACAATACATAGCATTATAAAACAATACTAAATTACATTCCCAATTCTTTGGCAACTAATTTTTTAATTGTGATTTTAAAATAAGGAGATAAAATAAGAGTATGGCATTTTTAAAATATGCAAAAAATAATATATTTGCTTGTTTTCCTAAAATGAATGAAATGTTTCAGCTCCCCCTAGAGGCCATTGCGTTCAATACACACACACTCACGCTCTATCTCTCTCCTGCGCATGCGCTCTGCCGAAGCTCTTTCCTTCTCTATTTCCCAGTCCCTCTGTGACGACTGACTGCGCAGGCGCAACAGAAGGGAGGAGCCGGGGCGCGTTTCTACACTTTCACACACCCTCCAACAGGGGGACAAAAACAGGGGGACAAAAAGAGCGCATGCGCGCAGGGAGAAAGAAAGGCACTTCCTATCAACATTGCAAAGCAAGCTGGTCCGAGAGGAAGCGCTTCCGGGTCTCCGCCATTGGGAGGTGAGAGGGAGCGCGAGGCGGGGAAATTCGTCGAGGTGGCCTGGCTATTGTTGCCTGGAGGCACCCTCTGCTTGGGAGGTAGAATCATAGAATCCTAGAGTTGGAAGAGACCTCCTGGGCCATCCAGTCCAACCCCATTCTGCCAAGAAGCAGGAATATTGCATTCAAATCACCCCTGACAGATGGCCATCCAGCCTCTGTTTCAAAAGCTTCCAAAGAAGGAGCCTCCACCACACTCCGGGGCAGAGAGTTCCACTGCTGAACGGCTCTCACAGTCAGGAAGTTCTTCCTCATGTTCAGATGGAATCTCCTTTCTTGTAGTTTGAAGACATTGTTCCATTGCGTCCTAGTCTCCAGGGAAGCAGAAAACAAGCTTGCTCCCTCCTCCCTGTGGCTTCCTCTCACATATTTATACATGGCTATCATATCTCCTCTCAGCCTAAACATGCCCAGCTCCTTAAGCCGCTCCTCATGGGGCTTGTTCTCCAGACCCTTCATCATTTGAGTCGCCCTCCTCCGGACACATTCCAGCTTGTCAATATCTCTCTTGAATTGTGGTGCCCAGAATTGGACACAATTTATTTATTTATTTATTTATTTATTTATTTATTTATTTACTTTGCTTATATACCGCTGTTCTCAGCCCAGGGGCGACTCACAGCGGTGTACAACATAGAAGGAACAAGGTTCAAAATACAAGACACAATATAAAATAATCCACAGTCCATCATTAACAAAAAACATCATCATCAAAAAACATCATCATTACTACAAAAAGCCACAATATTCCAGGTGTGGTCTAACCAAAGCGGACTAGTGCATGGGGAGCATTACTTCCTTAGATCTAGACACTAGGCTCCTATTGATGCAGGCCAAAATCCCATTGGCTTTTTTTGCCGCCACATCACATTCCTGGCTCATGTTTAACTTGCTGTCCACGAGGACTCCAAGATCTTTTTCACACGTACTGCTCTCGAGCCACGCATTGTCCCCCATTCTGTATCTTTGCATTTCGTTTTTCCTGCCAAAGTGGAGTATCTTGCATTTGTCACTGTTGAACTTCATTTTGTTAGCTTTGGCCAAACATCTCTCTAATCTGTCAAGATCGTTTTGAATCCTGCTCCTGTCCTCTGGAGTCTTGGCTCTCCCTCCCAATTTGGTGTCGTCTGCAAACTTGATGATCATGCCTTCTCGCCCTTCATCTAAGCCATTAATGAAGATGTTGAATGAGGATAAGTTAGGGGTCCATGAATATAGGTCAGAGAATAAGTTAAGCAAGAGTATTTAAGGAAATAGTCAGGATTGTGAGTGGAGAACCGTTGAGAGTTTGCTATTACATGGTTAACAAGTGAATCTTTCTATGTGTAGAAAGTCATAAGGATGAGAGTTGTCATGAAACAATGTTATATTCAACTAAGACGCTAATATACAAATGTAACCAACAAGCTTTTGTGCAAGACATCTATAAATAAACTCAGTTAATGTGGAGTTGTGTATGAAGACTGTTTCGCAAAACATTGAATAAGATTTAAAGAGAAACCCAGAGGAGTCCCAGCAGATTTCAGAAGAGAACTGGTATAAGTTACTGGCCTGAACTGGTGACAATGGAGAGATATAAAGGAAAGGATCCCCCCACCCCAACTTGGTTTGAAGATATATTATGTGAAGAGGGCATCCCAGAGATATTGACACAATTGAAAAGAGATATTGACAAGCTGGAATGTGTCCAGACGAGAGCGACTCAAATGATCAAGGTGATTAGTTGGGCCTGATTGTTTTATGTCTGGAATTCCCCTGTTTTCAGAGTGTTCCTCTTTATTTACTGTCCTGATTTTAGAGGGTTTTTTTGATAGTGGTCGCCAGATTTTGTTCATTTTCCTGGATTCCTCCTTTCTGATGAAATTCTTCACCTGCTTGTGGATTTCAGTGGCTTCTCTGCGTAGCCTGACATGGTAGTTGTTAGAGCGGTCCAGCATTTCTGTCTTCTCCAATAATACGCTGTGTCCAGGTTGGTTCATCATTATTATTATTTTTTATTATTATTTAGAACTTTTATATACCAGTCTTCTTGACCTCTGCAGAGGGATTCAGGCCAGTTCACAACAAAAGATTCATAAACAATAGTTTAAAATATCACATCACATAATGCACTAATACGTAAAATACATTAAAATACAGTCATATAATTACATAAGGCCAAGTCATCAGAATGAAATTCATCACCATCTGTCCGTGTGGTCAAGAGTTATTGACTCACTCACCAAATGCTAAATTCCAGAGCCAAGTTTTCACCAGCTTTCTAAAAGTCAGGAGAGAAGGGGCAGGTCTTATCTCCAGTGGGAGAGAGTTCCAGAGCTGAGGGGCCACCACCGAGAAGGCCCTGTCCCTCGTCCCCACCAGACACGATTGCGAAGGTGGTGGGACTGAGAGCAGGGCCCCTCCAGAAGATTTTAATAACCTTGATGGTTCATAGGGGAGAATCCATTCGGACAGGTAAATTGGGCCGGAGTCGTTAATATAGCTGTGGAATGATGTCCAGGGTGGGAGAAAGAACTCTTGTCGGTTTGATGCAAGTGTGGCAACCTTGATTAGCATTAGCATTGCAGCTTCAAAGCCTGGCTGCTTCCTGCCTGGGTGCATCTTCTGTTAGGAGGTGTTAGCTGGCCTTGAATCCCCCAGGCAGCAACCAGCCAGGCTTTGAAGCTGCAAGGCCATTCAGTGCTAATCAAGATGGCCAATGGCAACATTCACACCTACCTCGAACAGACAAGAGTTTTTTCTCCCACCCTGGATATCATTCCACAGAAATACAAACCCCACAATGCCATTCAGTGCTTCTGGAACATGGCCAGACAGCCCGGAAAACACACATTCCTGACCAAGAAATGTTTTATGTGACCCCAGATGTACAGGTTTACAAAAATAGGCATAAATGCCAAGCTGTTGCATCCCAGGCCTGGAAAAACCGATGACCACCACACCATGCAAAAGTCCAGGAATATAAGCAAATGGGTTTATTGCAAAACACATAAAAGCATATAAAAAGTGGGAATAAGAAAAGGAAGATATATAATCCAAAAAGGTTTAGCAACAGGTGATAACCAAACGGTAATCTCAGTGTCTTATAAAGTTCCAGAGGTGACAAGGTCCAGGAACAGCCAGAAATCACAGGTACAGAGTAAGTTCATAAGCAAAAAGGTATAACTAGTAAAACAGGAATATATTGTCGAAGGCTTTCATGGCCAGAATCACTGGGTTGTTGTAGTTTTTTTCAGGCTATATGACCATGTTCTAAAGGCATTTTCAGGAATACATGAACAGGAACATAGAAAACAGAGATAGAGATATTGACAAGCTGGAATGTGTCCAGAGGAGGGCGACTAAAATGATCAAACGTCTGGAGAACAAGCCCTATGAGGAGCGGCTTAAAGAGCTGGGCATGGTTAGCCTGAAGAAGAGAAGGCTGAGAGGAGACACAATTTGTTGTTGTTCATTCGTTCAGTCGTCTCCAACTCTTCGTGACCTCATGGACCTGCCCACGCTAGAGCTCCCTGTCGGCCGTCACCACCCCCAGCTCCTTCAGGGTCAGTCCAGTCACTTCAAGGATGCCATCCATCCATCTTGCCCTTGGTCGGCCCCTCTTCCTTTTGCCTTCCACTTTCCCCAGCATAACAATAGACACAATAGCCATATATAAATATGTGAGAGGAAGTCATAGAGACGAGGAGGGAACAAGCTTGTTTTCTGCTGCCCTGGAGACTAGGACGCAATTGAACAACGGCCTCAAACTACAAGAAAGGTGATTCCACCTGAACATTAGGAAGAACTTCCTGACTGTGAGAGCCGTTCAGCAGTGGAACTCTCTGCCCCGGAGTGTGGTGGAGGCTCCTTTGGAAGCTTTTAAACAGAGGCTGGCTGGCCATCTGTCAGGGGTGTTTTGAATGTGATTTTCCTGCTCCTTGGCAGAATAGGGTTGGACTGGATGATGGCCCATGAGGTCTCTTCCAACTCTTGGATTCTATGATTCTATGAACAAAACCTGGCTCCCAGTATTAAAAAACTCTAAAATTATAACCGGAAATAAAGAACAACACTCAAAAACAAAGGAACTCCAGACAAGAAACAATTCAGGAACAGCTAATTACCTCTCAACTAAGGATTCCTTCAGGCAGAAACAAGTCATACCTAAAAACTAAGCTAAAAACTGTCAGGCCGTCAAATGCTAATCAAGGTGGCTAAGTGAAACATTCACACCTAGCTCCAACAGACAAGAGTTCTTTCTCCCACCCTGGACATCATTCCAGAGGTACATAATCCACCCCTTCTCCTTTTTTCCATAACTCACCTGAAATGCTACCCTCCTTTTATGTAAATTTGCCCATTTGAAAATTATATTATATTTTATTTTTTAAAACGACCACTCGGAAACAGAACTCCAGACAGCAAGCAATCAAGTGCTAGTTAACACCTCCCAAACAGAGGATGCCTTCAGGCAACAACAGCCAGGCAACCTCTATACAAACACCCTCACTAATTGACTCTACAGCTGCAAGGCTACTCAATGCTAATCAAGTTTGCCAATCGCAGCATTCACACTTGCTTCAAACAGACACAGGTTCTTTCTCTCACGCTGGACATTATTCTCCTTCTCTCTCTTGCCCACAGGAAGACATGTCCACGCTGTTCCCTTCCCTCTTCCCAAGGGTCACGGAGGCGCTCTGGTTCAACCTCGACCGTCCCTGCGTCGATGAGAACGAACTCCAGCAGCAGGAGCAGCAGCACCAGGCTTGGGTGAGACCCAGCGGAGAGGGAAACACAATAGACAGGAGGCAGAACTTCCCCCAGAGGGTTGAGGCTCTCCAAAAGTTCCTATCATCCCAGTGGAGTTTAGAGCTCTTTGGGGAAAGTCCTCAGAGGCAAACTTGGACTGTGTCCACACTGAAGAACTAGTGCAGCTTGGCACCATATGAATTGCCAGGGCTCAGTGCTATGAAGTCCTGTGACTTGTAGTTTGCCAAGGCCCATGGTCAAATTCTGGGAGACATTCACCATAGAATTACGAGGGTTGAGTGAAAAGTAATGCCTCCACCTTCGTAACTCCTCAACAGATGGCAAAACTGGTATGTGGCAGGTACTGGCTTGTTCGGTAGACTCTTGTGACGATGTGTAAATTTTATTCCTTTGGTTATGTGTAGTTTGGACAATGGTTTAGGGATGGTAAGTATGGGAGGTTATGTTTTGTGGGAGTGGCTTGATGTTAGCTAAGTTGCCATAGCAACAGGGGCGGAGCCAACCGCCTCTTCAGAGGCAGCTGTGTTTTAAAAAGTCAGTCAGTGGCCGGAGAGCTACTGAGAAAACACTGAATCTTTTGGTGGAGATTCAGGGAATGTGTCTGTAGCCAGTGTGCTATAGGGAAAAACTGAATCTCTTAGAGATTCAGTGAATCAATTGGTGACCAAAGTGGTTGCAGAGAAGGACCCGGTACAGGGGGTTGTTGATTCTGAATTAAGAATCAAGGTTTGGCTGGGTTTAAGCCTGTTGTGCCAGCTGTGAAACCTTTTGAAGTGTTTGCCTGAGTTTACTCATGAAACCTTTCCAATGTAACCATCAAGATTTGTGCCTCTTTTGAAGAACAGTTATACATTGTTATACTCCTGTTAAAATAAACTTGTTACTTTTCCTCAAGCCTTGCCTGATACAGTTTCTTCTAAGTTGAACAGCCTGCAATAATAAAGTCAGCCAGAAACAGTCCCTTTATAAAATAGTTCCTAGGCTGATATTGATCGTTGCCCGGCTTCCCTCATAGATAAGGTGGCAGTGGGTGCTTTACCACGTGCACCTTCACAATTGGTGGTATTCGGTGGCATTAAAACGGTCATCGTCACAGTTGGTGGCAGCAGTTTAATAACGGACCTCCTTCACAATTGGTGGCAAGCGACGGGATACGTTTAACATCTAATTTAGTGCCTAAGATCGCCTAAAGAAAAAAATCCTGAGGTAAAAGTTGGAGCCGAAGATGGCGGCTAAAAAGCAAGGCAAAGTAACAAAGGAGGTTGAGGCTTATCAAGAAGAGGGAAGCTCAGACTCAGACCAAACTCCTATGTCTGAGTTACAGTATAAATATCAGATAGAGTTAAGAAAATTGGAAATTGAGGCACAGGACAGGGCAAGACAGGCAGAAATGGAAGCCCAAAAGAGACAGACAGAAATGGAGTTTGAGGAGAGGGAAAGAGTCAGGTAGGCTGAATTACGGAAAATGGAATTAGAAATTGAAAAACAACGTTTAACTCTCCCTCAGACACAAGTGAATATACAGGAGAGACCAGAGGAGATCCCTATGGATCATATTTTGAGAAAATTCCCAAGATACAATAAAGAAGACAATATCGAAAAGTTCTTAATTTCCTTCGAACGATGTTGTAGAGACTTCAATGTAGCTGAGGAAAAATGGATGGCATATTTAAGGCCACAGATTTGTGGTAAACTTCTGGAGATTTATAGCGACATGGCAGAGACAGAACATAAAGATTACTCTAAGTTTAAACGAGAAGTTCAACAGAAATTGCAGCTGACACCTGAATTTTATAGGATGAAGTTCAGGATGATCAAAAAAGAAAAATATGAGAGTTATTCTCAATTAGCTTCCAAACAAGCACAATACTTTGAGAGCTGGATCAAAGGCGCTGAGGTAAATAACTTCCAGCAGCTCAAAAACTTAATTCAAAAGGAGCAGTTTTATCAACAGGTCCCCCTTGATTATAAATGGATTATACAGGATAGAAACCCCGAAACTTCAGCACAAGCAGCTATCATGGTGGACCAGTTGATTACTTTAAAGGAAGGATTGAAAGTAGAAGAAGGAGTCAAAAAGGAAACAAGACAATCCCAACCGCCATTTAAAAAATCCCCTCACAGTCAGCCAGGGAGAGGCTTTTCAGTAGAAAACACCGCCTGGAGGATGGCAGGCGCCATGCTGCCTAACAGTGCTGAGGGAAATAAGGGCTGTTTCCATTGCGGAAAATTAGGACATTTTAAGTCCCAATGTAATCTCCTGAGAAAAGAGAAAGATGGTACCTGAGAAGTATCAAAATCCTACTTCTCAGATTAATTTAAAAGGTTTAGGACCAGCGATTACTTCAAACGTGGTCTCTTTACCTATAAAATATGGCAATTGGACAGGCATGTGGGATTTTGCCATGAGTTCAGAGATCCCTTACTCATGCTTGATTGGAAATGACCTGGTCAGAAGAATTAAAAAAATATCAGAGTCACCTAAAGAGGGAAAAGATCTGACTGTGGAACAGACTGGAGTACAAAACACTTCATGTTTACCCATCTGTCAACCTATGGGACAGAAACCCGAAGCAAGCTCTATTGTAACTGAGTTGGTTCAAGGGACGAAAGGAGAAAATGAAATTTCTAAAGAACAAAAGGCTGATGACACACTCCAGACCTTGTTTGATACAACTCAAACCGAAAAGACAGAGTTAACCCCAGAGAAACCAAACCGATTTGTAATCAAAAATGAAGTTCTATACAGGGAAGTTTTAGACCACAAGTTTCCAGCTGTTTCTTACACCCAAATCGTGGTACCTCAGAAGTATCGTGGGCACCTCATGCAGATGGCACATGCCAGCCCACAAGGAGGTCACATGGGAATTAGGCGCACTACCCAGCGCATTGCAAAAAACTTCTTTTGGCCCGGCATGTACCAACAAATTAAGGACTTTTGTCAATCTTGTGACACTTGCCAGAGGATCAGTTCCGGCCAAGACAAAACAAAAGCTCAATTGATCCCCATGCCAATTATCGGCGAACCTTTCTTTAGAGTTGGTATTGACATTGTGGGCCCTCTACCAAAGCCAAGTCGGAGAGGCAGCAGATATGTCTTAACGATGATGGACTATGCCACTCGTTACCCGGAAGCTGTGGCATTGTCTAATATAGAAACTACCACAGTGGCAAATGCTCTACTGTCCATATGGGGAAGGACAGGGTATCCGAAGGAATTAATATCTGATTTGGGGACTCAATTCACCTCAAGACTAATGAAGAAGTTACTGGAGATATGTGGCATTAAACATTTAACATCCACTGCGTACCATCCACAAACCAATGGACTTGTAGAAAATTTTAACAAGACCTTGGTGAGAATGATTAAGGCATACAGTCAACAACATCCAAATGACTGGGATGTAAAATTACAGCAACTTCTTTTTGCCTATAGAGAGATCCCCCAAGAAAGCACTGGATACAGTCCGTTTGAGCTACTATATGGCAGGCGTGTACGAGGCCCACTTGATCTGGTGAGAGAGTTTTGGGAGGCGTATCCGGAGCGGGAGCCTGTTCCAGTAACCAGATACCTCCAGGATCTTCAGTCCCAAGGTTTAAAGGTTCATCCAGACAGCAGTGATGAGACTACAATAGAGAAAGACAATGTTCTTGGTTGTTCTTCCAACGATGGCAGATTCTCTTCAATACCAAGAAAAGATGTTCAAGGAACTATAAATTCTTCAATAAGACCTGATGCTATGTTAAAACAAGACTTTATTCAAGCCTTAAAACTCAATGAAAGCAGAACTGTTCCTGACAATTGGAAGATCAGATTGAAAGAGGAAGCTCCAGCAACAAAGAAAAGAGAAAACTTCCTACAACAGCGTGGTAACTTCGTGGAGGACCAAGAGATTCTTGATTGTAAACAACCTGTGATGGACTATAGAGACTTGAATCTCTTCAAATTGTTCAGACTTCCTCATGATTTTGAAGGACTTAATGATATTATAGGACTGATATATATACAAATATTGAGAATGTATGTCAGTAGAGTCACAGGGAAATTAGCCAAGTATATTGAGAGGGAGATGGGTGGAATGTTGGAGATGTGAGACTTTGATATTGCATACATGGATGATATTGAATAACTGAACCAAATATGGTTTATATATAGTTATATGATGTTTATATTATCCAAATTATTTTTGACCATTCTAGTTGGTAGAAAAGTCAAAAATAATCCCTATGGGTTGGGAGGTGTGACGATGTGTAAATTTTATTCCTTTGGTTATGTGTAGTTTGGACAATGGTTTAGGGATGGTAAGTATGGGAGGTTATGTTTTGTGGGAGTGGCTTGGCGTTAGCTGAGTTGCCATAGCAACAGGGGCGGAGCCAACCGCCTCTTCAGAGGCAGCTGTGTTTTAAAAATCCAGTCAGTGGCCGGAGAGCTACTGAGAAAACACTGAATCTTTTGGTGGAGATTCAGGGAATGTGTCTGTAGCCAGTGTGCTATAGGGAAAAACTGAATCTCTTAGAGATTCAGGGAATCAATTGGTGACCAAAGTGGTTGCAGAGAAGGACCCGGTACAGGGGGTTGTTGATTCTGAATTAAGAATCAAGGTTTGGCTGGGTTTAAGCCTGTTGTGCCAGCTGTGAAACCTTATGAAGTGTTTGCCTGAGTTTACTCATGAAACCTTTCCAATGTAACCATCAAGATTTATGCCTCTTTTGAAGAACAGTTATACATTGTTATACTCCTGTTAAAATAAACTTGTTACTTTTTCCTCAAGCCTTGCCTGATACAGTTTCTTCTAAGTTGAACGGCCTGCAATAATAAAGTCAGCCAGAAACAGTCCCTTTATAAAATAGTTCCTAGGCTGATATTGATCGTTGCCCGGCTTCCCTCATAGATAAGGTGGCAGTGGGTGCTTTACCACGTGCACCTTCACAATTGGTGGTATTCGGTGGCATTAAAACGGTCATCGTCAATTGGTGGCAGCAGTTTAATAACGGACCTCCTTCACAACTCTCCTCTACAGTTCCATTTTGGCAGGAAGCCTTAGCATTGAACGGTTGTGTTGTTAAAGTGCGAAGTATGGAACCCTGCACAGACGGTCGGTCAATGCGATTTAAGCAACATGCAGTCATTGAATCCTTGACAGCAGAAGGTGTCAGCCCAAAGGAGATGAATCTCCTTTGGGATGACACCTTCTACTGTCAAGAATTCAATGATTGCACATTGCTTAAATTGCATTGAATGCAAGCTGTTTATGCCGATTGTGTTGATGTACTACGTGTTGTTGGGTGAATAAGTTTAAAGATGTTGAGGTGGGAACATCTGACATGTGTCAAACAAAGAGTGAGACGTCCTGTGACAGCAACCGGGTTTCACAAGCAAAGGGTTGACAGTATTGCAACACAGAGTAAGCTTCACCTTGCTTCCAAACACCACCACACAAGAGCTATAGTTTTATAGTTTATTGAGGAAAAAATCCAAATCAAAATAAAGAATAAGCATTGCAAAGTTCCAAAGATTAAGGTTAAATGCAGAATATAGTTCCAAAGATCTTCAGGTAAAAGCAGGAGACACAATCCTATTGGCAAAGTTCAAACCAGAGTCCCAGGTACAAGCAATGAAACAATTGCCCCATGAATCACAATGCAAGAAATCCCAAGCGTACTGCTTTCCAGGCTAAGGTTATTCCATGAAGCTTTTAGGCTAATAAGCTACGTTGAACTGACACTTTCCCTTGGTTTGCACAAAGCCTAAATACCTTTCTAACATGAAAACCTTACATGAAAGCATTGCGATAACCTTTCACCGAGCTGGCTTCTCATCTGCCAGCCAGGCGAGAACTCCGCCTGACCCGCAAATCAAGACGAGCTTGCCGGGTCAGGTCACTATCAAGGCTTTCAGTAATTTCTGTATCAGTGTGGGAAGGAGGCAAATGCCTCCCCACCTGTTCGCTATCTCCTTCATTAAAATTCTTTTCTCCTGAGAACCGCTGTGTTGATGTTGATTCTGCACTGTCTGTGGGAGCCGCAGACCCAGAGATCTGAGGCACAGAAAAAGAGCCAGGAATCTGAATCCCATCATCCTCATCATCACAGAACATCTCGGCCACAACAGACAGATTGATTCAGGACTATTGTCATATCACTCAGAGAGAAATTTCAAGAATAATCAGCATTTCACAAGAATGTGTGGGTCACATTATTGCTTTGCTTGGAAGATCTGTGCACGATGCTGCCACCTGAAATGAAAGCGCACAAACTTAAACTTCAGAGACTGGATCGCACCACCATACGACATCCTCCACAAAGTCCAGATTTAGCTCTGTCTGACTTCCATCTGTTCCCAATAATGAAAGAAGATCTGTGGGGACATCATGATGCTTCTGATGAAGACGTTGATGAACTGTGAGATGCTGGTTGCGGAAACAGAGTGCCGACTTCTTCCATGACAGCTTCAGAAAACTTGTTCATCATTGGCAGAAATGTATCCAATTGTCCGGTGATTATGTGGAAAAGTGAATAGTGGTAGTTGAAGAGCACATCCTAAGGATTATTTCTGTGTTTGATTTATTAAAATATTCCTATCTAAACCCAAGTAACGAAGGTGGAGGCATTACTTTTCATTCAACCCTTGTATTACTTGAGAGAAGTGTTCCCTCAAATAACAAAAAATAGCATGTATTGTCAAAAGTTTTCATAATTGGAATCACTGAAGTGTTATGTAGTTTCTGGGCTGTATGGCCAAGGTGTCCTAGCAGCATTTTCTCCTGATGTTTCTCCTTCATCTGTGGCTGGCATCTTCAGAGAATCTTATGGTAGTAAAGCAAGTGGTGGTAAAGCTGAGGGTGAAAAGTAAAGGGCCTGAGACTGTTAGGAATTGTGGGAGTTGAAGTCCAAAACACCTGGAGGGCCGAAGTTTGCCCAGGCCTGCGATATAGGCACTTAAGGCTGCTTGCTTTAATTTATATCACCACCTCCAGTGGTGTAATGTAAAATAACCATTACCAATTACCGTATGTTGATTATATGGATTTGAAACTAGCCTAGCGAGAAAAATCCCCCCTCCCCAAAATATCTTGAGCCAGATCTTTGAAATCCATTGATATCTCTGCATGTCCCCGTTTATTTATTTACTTATTAGTTATTTATTTACTTACAGCATTTATATACTGCTTTTCTCACCCCTTCTTTTCCCAGCTGCAGAGCATAGCTGAGAAGGACAATAACTTGGTCCCGATTGGCAAACCGGCCTCAGAGGTAATGACCATCTCTCAGGATGCTTGGGCTTTCATTGGGTTGAGAGTGGTGGGTTTGGGGGTCTCTACCTCATTCGGGGGACTAACTTTGGTCTCGTTTGAAGCATCAAAGCAAACAAGAAGCATTCTTCCCTCATTTATTTTTATTGTTTCAGAAGCAAATTGAGGGCACGGTTATAATGTATTTAAAAACACAAACAAAGTTTGTTTATTTATAGTGTCAGAAGCAACTTGAGAAACTGCAAGTTGCTTCTGGTGTGAGAGAATTGGCTGTCTGCAAGGACAGCTGGATGTGTTACCATCCTCTGGAAAGCTTCTCTCATGTCCCTGCACGAGAAGCTGGAACTGACAGACGGGAGCTCACCCCACTCCCTGGATAGTGTCTGAAGCAACTTGAGAAACTGCAAGTTGCTTCTGGTGTGAGAGAATTGGCTGTCTGCAAGGACAGCTGGATGTGTTACCATCCTCTGGAAAGCTTCTCTCATGTCCCTGCACGAGAAGCTGGAACTGACAGACGGGAGCTCACCCCACTCCCTGGATAGTGTCTGAAGCAACTTGAGAAACTGCAAGTTGCTTCTAGTGTGAGAGAATTGGCTGTCTGCAAGGATAGCTGGATGTGTTACCATCCTCTGGAAAGCTTCTCTCATGTCCCTGCACGAGAAGCTGGAACTGACAGACGGGAGCTCACCCCACTCCCTGGATAGTGTCTGAAGCAACTTGAGAAACTGCAAGTTGCTTCTAGTGTGAGAGAATTGGCTGTCTGCAAGGATAGCTGGATGTGTTACCATCCTCTGGAAAGCTTCTCTCATGTCCCTGCACGAGAAGCTGGAACTGACAGACGGGAGCTCACCCCACTCCCTGGATAGTGTCTGAAGCAACTTGAGAAACTGCAAGTTGCTTCTGGTGTGAGAGAATTGGCTGTCAGCAAGGACGTTGCCCAGGGGACGCCTGGATGTGTTACCATCCTCTGGGAAGCTCCTCTCATGTCCCTGCATGAGAAGCTGGAATTGACAGATGGGAGCTCACCCCACTCGCCGGATTTGAACCTCCAACCTTTCAATCAGCAGTCCTGTCAGCACAAGCATTTAACCCACTGCGCCACCAGAGGCTCCATAATGCTTAAAAATCCCAAAGATAAAAAATTGGCATGGTACTAAATGTCCTTTGACCAGAAGCTGGCCAGTTGGAGTGCCTCTGGTGTCACTGTGAGAAGATCCTCCATTGTGTATGTGGCAGGGCTCAGAGTGCATTGTAGTTGGTGGTCTGTGGTTTGCTCTTCTCTACACACACATGTCATGGACTCCACTTTGTGGCCCCATTTCTTAAGCTTTTGTCTTCATCTCATGGTGCCTGAGCGCAGTCCTTTCAGTGCCTTCCAGGTTGTCCAACTTTCTGTATGCTCAGGAGGGAGTTTCTCATCCAGTCTCAGCCACTGATTGAGGTTCCAAGTTTTAGCCTGCCACTTTTGGACTCTCTTGCTGAGGTGTTCCTTCAAGTATCTCTGTAGATCTTACAAAGCTATTTCTTGATTGAAGGCATTGGTGTGCTGGCTGATATCCAAACAGAGGTTGGGCCAGACATGTCACTGCCTTGGCCCTATGCTACTCTGCTGCTGAGTATGCACGCCCAGTGTGGAACACTTCTCACCATGCTAAAACAGTGGATGTGGCCCTGAATGAGACATGCCGCATTATCACGGGGTGTCTGCGCCCTACACCACTGGAGAAATTACACTGTCTAGTCAGTATTGCACCACCTGACATCCGCCGAGAAGTAGCAGCCAATAGTGAAAGGACCAAGGCAGAGACATCTCCAGCTCATCCCTTGTTTGGGTATCAGCCAGCACGTCAATGACTTAAATCAAGAAACAGTTTCCTAAGATCTATGGAGATACTTGCAGGAACACCTCAGCAAGAGAGAGTCCAAAAGTGGCAGGCTCAGACCCAGAACCTCAATCAATGGCTGATACCAAATGAGAGACTCCCCCCTGGGCACACAGAGGACTGGGCTACTTGGAAGGCACTGAACAGACTGCGCTCTGGCACCACGAGATGCAGAGCCAACCTTCAGAAATGGGGCCACAAAGTGGAATCCATGACATGCGAGTGTGGAGAAGAGCAAACCACTGACCACCTGCTGCGATGCAACCTGATCCACATGCACCATGGAGGACCTTCTTATAGTAACACCAGAGGCACTCCAAGTGGTCAGATACTGGTCAAAGGACATCTAATCAACTACCAAGCTTGCAAACTTTGCGTCTTGTTTGTTTGTTAAAAAATGCAATACAACTGTTTGGTTTGCTCCTGACATGATAAATAAAAATAAAATAAAATAATAATTATCATCTTTATTTATACCCTGCCTTTCATAGAATCATAGAATCATAGAATCAAAGAGTTGGAAGAGACCTCGTGGGCCATCCAGTCCAACCCCCTGCCAAGAAGCAGGAATATTGCATTCAAATCACCCCTGACAGATGGCCATCCAGCCTCTGTTTAAAAGCTTCCAAAGAAGGAGCCTCCACCACACTCCGGGGCAGAGAGTTCCACTGCTGAACGGCTCTCACAGTCAGGAAGTTCTTCCTCATGTTCAGATGGAATCTCCTCTCTTGTAGTTTGAAGCCATTGTTCCGCGTCCTAGTCTCCAAGGAAGCAGAAAACAAGCTTGCTCCCTCCTCCCTGTGGCTTCCTCTCACCTATTTATACATGGCTATCATATCTCCTCTCAGCCTTCTCTTCTTCAGGCTAAACATGCCCAGCTCCTTAAGCCGCTCCTCATAGGGCTTGTTCTCCAGACCCTTGATCATTTTAGTCGCCCTCCTCTGGACACATTCCAGCTTGTCAATATCTCTCTTGAATTGTGGTGCCCAGAATTGGACACAATATTCCAGATGTGGTCTAACCAAGCAGAATAGAGGGGTAGCATTACTTCCTTAGATCTAGACACTATGCTCCTATTGATGCAGGCCCAAATCCCATTGGCTTTTTTTGCCGCCACATCACATTGTTGGCTCATGTTTAACTTGTTGTCCACGAGGACTCCAAGATCTTTTTCACACGTACTGCTCTCGAGCCAGGCATTGTCCCCCGTTCTGTATCTTTGCATTTTGTTTTTCCTGCCAAAGTGGAGTATTTTGCATTTGTCACTGTTGAACTTCATTTTGTTAGTTTTGGCCCATCTCTCTAATTTGTCAAGATCGTTTTGAATCCTGCTCCTGTCCTCTGGACTATTGGCTATCCCTCCCAATTTGGTGTCGTCTGCAAACTTGATGATCCTGCCTTCTAGCCCTTCATCCAAGTCATTAATAGAGATCCTGAACAGGACCGGGCCCAGGACGGAACCCTGCGGCACTCCGCACTTCTTCCCATGCGTACCCAAAGGCGGATAACAATCCCACACTAGACGCGTTTGCAAAGTGCAATACAAAAGTTAATAAAACAAATAGTAACAATGTGGTTAAAAACAGAATTAAAGTACAGTAAATACACTTGAAATGGCCAGAAGGTCAGCTGCGATGTTGCCTTTGCCTCAGCAGACTTACGACGAGGAGGAAGAGGAGGATGACGAGGACGACGAGGACAGCGAGGAAGACTCGGAGGACGATGAGGACATGCAGGACATGGACGAGATGAACGACTACAACGAGTCCCCCGACGATGGGGAGATCAACGAGGTTTGTGGGGAGAGGGTTAGAGGGTGGCCAAGGCTTCTTTCCTTGCTGGGTCAAGGGAACTGTGGGGTCCAGCAGAGAAAGAAGGCGCTCTTTTCAGGCCCAGAGAGCAGCCAAGGCAAGCTGTGTCTGTGTCATGAAGTGGGAAAGCAGGTGGAATCATCATCTTTGCATGGCGTTTCAAGGAGTTGTTGTTCTTGTTATGATGATGATGATGCTTGAAGTGCTGTGCAGTTTCCGGTTTGTATGGTCAATGTGTTCTCGCAGCATTTTCTCCTGACATTTCACCTGCATCTGAAGCTGGCACTTCCAGAAAGATCAGATGGTAGTCAAGGAAGTGGAGTATATATATGTATGGTATGTCCAGGGTGGGAGAAAGAACCAACGTCTATAGGGGAAAGCAGGTGGAATCATCTTCTTTGCATGGGGTTTCAAGGGGTTGTTTTTGTTATGATGATGATGTTTGAGGTGTTGTGTGGTTTCTGGTCTGTATGGTCAATGTGTTCTCGCAGCATTTTCTCCTGACGTTTTGCCTGCATCTGAAGCTGGCATCTCCAGAAAGATCAGATAGATGTCCAGATGGATCAGATAGATAGATCTATCAACCTATACAGAGGACAGCTAGTCTATATAAATAAAAATGTAATGTTCGTTTGTGGGATTAGCATAACTCAAAAACCACTGGATGAATTGACACCAAATTTGGACACAAGACACCTATCAGGTCAACGAGTGACCATCACGCATAAAAACACTGAAAAACACAGCAGAAGTGACTTAAAAAGCCAAAAAACCAAAATTACATTACAACGCATGCCCAAAACCACATATATAAACGCAAACACACAGATACACACACAAAACACATATACACAGAGTGGGCCACAGCAGCGAGTGGCAGGGGACGGCTAGTCTATATAAATAAAAATGTAATGTTTGTTTGTGGGATTAACAGAACTAAAAAACCACTGGACGAATTGACACCAAATTTGGACACAAAACACCTAACAACCCAATGTATGTCTTTCACTCAAAAAAATTGATTTTGTCATTTGGGAGTTGTAGTTGCTGGGATTTATAGTTCCCCTACAATCAAAGAGGATTCTGAACCCCACCAACGAGGGAATTGAACCAAACTTGGCACACAGTTCTCCCATGACCAACAGAAAATACTGGAAGAGTTTGGTGAGCAACGTCCTTTGGTTTTGGAGTTGTAGTTCACCTACATCCAGAGATCACTGTGGACTCAAACAATGATGGATCTGGACCAAACTCTACACGAATACTCAATATGCCCAAATGTGAACACTGGTGGAGTTTGGGGGAAATAGAATCTTGACATTTGGGAGTTGTAGTTGCTGGGATTTATAGTTCACCTACAATCACAGAGCACTCTGAACCCCACCAACGATAATATTGGGCTAAACATTTCACACAGAACCCCCATGTGGGTCACAGCAACGCGTGGCAGGGGACGGCTAGTATCATATAAAAACACATTCTAACAGGTTTTATTATGCTCATGCCTCTTTCTTCCTCTCTTTCCCAAGGTGGACATGGAAGGGTCTGAGCAAGATCAAGACCAGTGGATGATCTAGCTGTCTTTGATGCACAATGATGCATCCTTGCAGCCTCGTTGTCCTGCCAGGGAAAGGGAGAGGGGCCACTCTGTTGGCAAGGCATCCTGCCTGGTGCATATGGTCCCATCCTTCCCTGCCTCTTGGTCGGAAAGACTAGCCTCATTGCCTTGGATGTCCTTCGATGCTCCCCTGCCGAACACTTTGGAGCCAGCTGAGAATATCTGTGAGTGAGACCACATACAGGATTCTTTTTTTTCATCCAGAGTTAGGAGGAGATGTGTAGCAAAAGCCACCTGTATTTATTCTTTTTGTGTTTGTGCTGATTCTGCTTTTGGTGGAATACATTTTATGAATAAACCTGTTTCTTACCTGGAGTTCTGCAGTTCACATTTACTATCACCATTGTATTTATTATTTGCAGTTATTTACGGTATTTCTATTCCGCCCTTCTCACCCCGCAGGGGACTCAGGGCAGATTACAATGTACATATACATGGCAAACATTCAATGCCATAGACACACAACATATATAGACAGACACAGAGGCAATTTAACGTTCCAGCTTTTCTTGAGGGTATTTTGGCCACCAGGGGAGCTGTCCCTTCACCAACAATTTGTGACACTGATGAAGTACTTCCTCATTCCTTGCTTGCTTGCTGGAGATTTTTATGGCCTCGTAAATTAATTAAATTAGCCTCCTCGCAGAAGTGGTACCTAAATTTCCTACTTGACAGATGCAACTGTCTTTCGGGCTCCAAAGGTCGACAGCAAGCTACACAAATTGATCGGATGCTCACTCCGACCCTGGCTGGATTCGAACTCATGACCTTCGGTCAGTAGTGATCTTAATGCAGCTGACTCCCAGCCAGCTGCGCCACAGTCCCGGTTGTATCCAGACATAGAAGCGTAGAATTGGAATAAATCCCATAAATCCAGATCCATATGATGCTGGACACTAAGCAGGATCAGGCCTGGTTAGTCCTTGGGTGGGAGGCCAAGGAGTCCCAGGTGATATTTCAGAGGGAGAAATGGCCAAATCTAGTTCTGGGCCTTCCTTGCAAAAAAAAAAAAAAAAACGCTATTAAATTCATTGGGTCCCCTTAGGTCCTCTGGCCAATTGAAAGCATTCATACATGCACTTTATATTGGTATATTTTAAATTGTATGCTGATAAAAGGTATAGGTTTCCCTTTGACATTAAGTCTAGTCATGTCCGACTCTGGGGGTTGGTGCTCATATCTACATTTCTAAACCAAACAGCCAGTGTTGTCCGTAGACACCTTGCATGCTAGGTTGGCAGAAGCTGGGGCTAACAGAAGGAGCTCACCCTGCTCAGTGGATTCGAACCACCAACCTTTTAGTCAGCAATTTCAGCAGCTCAACGGTTTAGACCTCTGCGCCACCGGGGGGGGGGGGGGGGGGGGGGGGGGTGTGTGATGCTTTTGTGTTATTATACAAAGTTATAATTATCACATCTAATTTTAATCTCTATTACACTTGCATACATTACTTAAACATATTAAAATTCCATAGGTCCTCTGTGACAAAGAAGGGAGTATTCTTGCCAACTGATTTTAACCTAATCTTAATTTTTCTAATGATCTCACGTTCTTTTTTCCTTCTCTTCCAGCTTTTCATTGTGATAATTTTGTCAATTACTCTTGTCAGGTTATTTCTTTTATACCTAATTTTAATTATTACCCAAGAGGTCTGTGTTAATGGAACGGCGATGATCTCAGCACAGCAAGGCACTGAAACACATCTTCTTGTCTAAAAAAACCTAGTTTATTTAACACAAAACTATTTACACTAGAACTAAGCAGAACGAGAAACAAATAACATCTACACGGCTCGGCTTTTCATTGCAATTCAGAATACGGCACACTCTCACATTCCTCAGTGACGTGATGACGTACGATGCACGCGATGACGACGCTAGACAGCGTACAACACTTTCCGCACTGAGATTTACGACTCCTTCACGATACAGTTGACCCTTTCCACACAGGAATTACAATCTCGGGAACATTGCATTACAAAGCATTACATTTCTAAGCACACAAACACTAACTCTGAAAACTACAATACAGTTAATCAAAACACTCACATATTCTTAACAGTCTGCAGATTTAATTTAATCTCTTAGTATATCCGTAGAGTAGTATTCTGTAGACAACAATTTACTACGTAATACTATCACTCTTTCTTCCCCCTTAACCCCACTCAAAGTTTATATATTTCCATGTAAGCATTTCGCATCTATTTAATCCAAAGACTCTTCAATATCTGTTGTCCAAAGTTTCTTAAATGCAGGGTAGATAGGTAATGCAGAATGTCTATATGGGTAATAGTCATATTGCCCTAAACAAGGACCCCAAAAGGTTGGAGGTCCGAAAATAACCTAGAGTTACCTTGCTGAGTTGCTGGCCATGTTCTTGAAGCATTCTCTCCTGACATTTTGCCCACATCTATGGCAGACATCCTCAGAGGTTGTGAGGTCTGTTGGAAATGAGGCAAGTGGGGTTTGTATATCTGTGGAATAATGTCCAGGGTGAGAAAAATAACTTTTGTCGCGACTGGCCAACTTGATTAGCATTGAATGGCCTTGCAGCTTCAAAGCCTGGCTGGTTCCTGCCTGGAGGAATCCTTTGTTTGGAGGTGATTAGCTGGGCCTGATGGTTTCATGTCTGGAAATCCCCTGCTTTCAGAGTGTTCCTCTTTATTTACTGTCCTGATTTTAGAGTTTTTTAAATGCTGGTAGCTAGATTTTGTTCATTTTCCTGGTTTCCTCCTTTCTGTTGAAGTTGTCCACCTGCTTCTTGTGGATTTCAATGGCTTCTCTGTGTAGCCTGACATGGTGGTTGTGAGAGCGGTCCAGCATTTCTGTGTTCTCCAATCATCTGCTGTGTCCAGGTTGGTTCCTCAGGTGTTAATATAGCTGTGGAATGATGTCCAGGGTGGGAGAAAGAACTCTTGTCTGTTTGATGCAAGTGTGGCAACCTTGTTTAGCATTAGCATTGCAGCTTCAAAGCCTGACTGCTTCCTGGCTGGGTGAATCTTTCGTTGGGAGGTGTAAGCTTGCCCTGAATTCCCCAGGCAGCAACCAGCCAGGCTTTGAAGCTGCAAGGCCATTCAATGCTAATCAAGACGGCCAATGGCAACATTGACACCTACCTCGAACAGACAAGAGTTTTTCTCTCACCTTGGACATCATTCCACAGATATACAAACCCCACAAGGCCATTCAGTGCTTCTGGAACATGGCCAGACAGCCCGGAAAACACACATTCCTCTTCTCTTCAACATCTACATTAGACCCCTTGCTAGTTTGGCTCGGAGTTTCGGCCTAGACTGCTACCAATATGCGGACGACACCCAACTCCTTCTATGTCTGGAGCCTGGAGCAACGTCAATAACAGACAATTTCACCTTATGTCTGGGGGAACTGTCGAACTGGCTACGTGCTACTGAAGGTGAACCCAGCGAAGACTGAGATTCTCTGGCATGGCCGCCCCGCAGGTCTGACCCATTTGCTACCCACCTTCGATGGTGCTGTCCTATCTCCATCGACCACTGTTAAGAGCTTGGGTGTTGTTTTGGATTCGCAGCTGACAATGGAAGCTCAGGTGGCTGCTGCCAGCAAACAGGCCTTTTTCCATCTACAACAAGCGAGGCAATTGGCACCCTACCTATCTGATGAGGCTCTGGCAACAGTCATCCATGCCACGGTCACGTCTAGGCTGGACTATTGCAACGCCCTGTATGGTGGCCTTCCGATGTCTACGACCCGAAAGCTCCGTATTGTTCAGAATGCGGCAGCCAGGCTACTCACAAGAACGCCCATGAAATGCCATATAACTCCAGTGCTGCGGCATTTGTATTGGCTTTCAACTGATTACCATCGTACCTTAGGGTAATTCTCCCATCATCGGAGGTCACAACGACCATCCCAACTCGACTTACTCTATATACCAAGTCCTAGAGAAGTGCACCTGGAAAGGACCAGACGCAGATGGGCTTTTTCTATTTCTGCCCCTGCCTTATGGAATTCCTTGCCGCCCTACATGAGAGCCATGCATGAGTTAGGGCCTTTTACCCTAGCACTTAAGACCTGGCTTTTTACTAGAGCTTTTGATCTATGTTAATTTTATCAATATCTGTATGTATGTATTTTTATCCTTTACAATTTAGCTTGTAAATCGCCTGGAGCATCTTGGATGGAGGGCGATTAATAAGTAATTAAATGATGATGATGATGATGATGATGATGATGATGACGACGACCTTTGGGGGTCCCAGCTGAGCAGTTCCCTAGTAAGACTATCCATCTTTATAAGTTTGAATGGGACCCTTCCAAGACTGCATCTGTTTTGCAAGTCTCCGTGAAAGAATGGAGTCAGACTAGATGGCCTTTGGAGGACCCCTTCCATCTGAGCGGGTTCATCACTCCCTTCCTCCTCACTCTTCCCCAGTGTAGGTGAGCTGCGCCATCCCGTCGGGAATGGCCCGGAAGTACTGGAGGCTGGTCCGGTGCACCCTCCACTTGTACTTTCCGCAAGCCTTGACGTATTGCAGGAAGTGCGGGGCCCCCGGGAAGATGACGTTGTCGGCCAGGACGGTGGCCCCTTCGGGGAGAAGGCCGTGGGCTTCCAGCAGCTGCAGGTCGCGCAGGTAGCAGCGCTTCCAGTGGTCCATGAAGACCAGGTCCACACGGAACAAGCCATGCTTCTCCTTCAGCTGCGGGATGACCTCCTCCGAGGAGCCCACAATCAGCTCCACCTGGATATATAGACATATGAGGGAGAAGAAGGAAGGAAGGAAGGAAGGAAGGAAGGAAGGAAAGAGAAGGAATAAGAAAGAAAGAGGAGAGATCTATTAACATTTTGGTTTGGGTTAATGGCATCAATGAGCATAGTAGCGGGAGCCACAAAGTTTATTCGTGTTGCAACTCAGAGTAAGCTTTGCTTTGCTTCTAAACACCACCACACAAGAGCTGTAGTTTTATAGTTTATTGAGGAAAAAGTCCAAGTCAAAATAAAGAATAAGCATTGCAAAGTTCCAAAGATTTAGGTTAAATGCAGAATATAGTTCCAAGGATCTTCAGGTAAAAACAAAAGGCACGATCCTATAAGCAAAGTTCAAAACAGAGTCCAAGATACAAACAGTAAATCAATTGCCTCAAGAATCACAATGCAAGAAATCCCAAGCGTGCTGCTTTCCAGCTAAGGTTATTCCATGGAGCTTTCAGGCTAACAAGCTACGTTGAACTGACGCTTTCTCTTCGTTTGCAAGAAGCCTAAATATCTTTCTAACATGAAAACATTATGCCCCCACCAACATTTAAGCATTGCGATGACCTTTCCCCGAGCTGGCTTCTTGTCTGCCGACCAGGTGAGAACTCCGCCTGACTTGCAAATCAAGATGGGCTTGCCGGGTCAGGTCACTATTAAGGCTTTCTGCACTTTTATTATCAGCGTGGGAAGGAGGCAAAGGCCTCTCCACCTGTTCGCTATCTACTTCGTTAAAATTCCTTTCTTCTGAGAACCGCTCTGAAAAAGACCTAGAAGCAGGCCTAGAGATCTGAGGCACAGAAGGCACAGAAAAAGAGCCAGGAATCTGAATCCCATCATCCTCATCATCAGAGAACTTCTCAGCCACAACAATTTGGTTGACTTTATATAGACCAGACATGGACCAACTTTGGCCCTCCCTCCAAGTGTTTTGTCCCTCCAAAACACCTGGAGGGAGGGCCGAAGTTAGCCCATTGTTGTATATCAGCCTGGTCAGCCTGTGAGTTTATCTGATGTTCATGTCGATGTTCATGAAGGGAATGGGGATGATTGTTGCATAGCTGAGTAGAAATGCAATCTGTTTATTGAAGATATTTTTAAAAAACAATAGCAGTAAAAAAAACACTTTAAAAGAATAGGTAAATCCAATTAGGTAGGAAGATAAGCCGGAATAAATAGTTCAGGAAATTAGTCCATCAAAGTTCATGAAAAACAAGACAGAAACTTCTATAATAAAATTCAAGAACTGGAAACATGAATCAAAGGCACTTAACACATGAATCTATCCAAAGCACGGCTTCCAAGGAACAGGAAAGATGTCTTGACTTGATTCCAAATGATGCTTCATCTGACTACAGATTCTGTACTTGGCACTTTTATCTCCTAATTACACTATGTCCCAAGCGGTCAGAAATGGGTTTTGTTTTAGCTGTGAATCCCTTATAGTTCTTTCTTTGACCCTGGCAGAACGCCTAAGAGACTGGTTTGCTTTTCTATTTTGACTAATAACATCCCGTCTATCTATTTGCTCATTAATTTCTGCAGCTGGCCCAGGTGTCGAGCTATTCTCAGGCTCCAAATCATGGGGATGATCTGGTAGCAATTCAGGGAGCACACCATCATCCCCAAAGCCTTCAGAAACATTCTCATCAGAAAATACACTTTGAACAGGGATCTTCTGGTCATTCCCTGCCTCAATAGCCACCTCATCCCTACCCTGCTACATGCCTGCAAAACGTGGACTGTCTACAGACGTCACAATCAACTCCTGGAACGATTCCAGCAGCGCTGCCTCCGGAAAATCCTGCAAATCTCCTGGGAAGACAAGCGGACAAACGTCAGTATGCTGGAAGAAGCAAAGACCACCAGCATTGAAGCGATGGTCCTCCAACATCAACTCCGCTGGGCCGGCCGCGTCGTCCGGATGCCTGACCACCGTCTCCCAAAGCAGTTGCTCTACTCCGAACTCAAGAACGGAAAACGGAATGTTGGAGGACAGGAAAAGAGATTGAAAGATGGGCTCAAAGCCAACCTTAAAAACTCTGGCATAGACACTGAGAACTGGGAAGCCCTGGCCATTGAGCTCTCCAGCTGGAGGTCAGCTGTGGCCAGCAGTGCTGCAGAATTCGAGGAGGCACGAGTGGAGAGTGAAAGAGAGAAACGTGCCAGGAGGAAGGCACATCAAGCCAACCCCTACCAGGACCTCCTTCCACCTGGAAACCAATGCCCTCACTGTGGGAGAAGATGCAGGTCAAGAATAGGGCTCCACAGCCACCTACGAATCCACAAGGAAACCCATCACGGAAGACCATCTTACTCGTCCAACGAGGGATTGCCTAAGTAAGTAAGTAAGTAAGTAAGTAAGCCACCTCATCATTGGAAACACCATTACCTACATGAACCTCATTGTCATCATTCCCAACATCCAAAGAACCCTGATCCTTAAACACAATCAATGATTTCATGTTGATGTTCATGATGGGAATGGGGATGGTCCGGTTCCTGGGTCAGGGTCTGTTGGATTTGGGGATGAGGGATCGCCTGGGCCTGATTTGTGCTCACAAGAGAGGCCAGAGCTGCTGCAAGAGGTTACCCAAAGTCACAGGCTTGGGAAGGGCCTTTCCTCATTGTTCCCTGAGCAGCTGTCTGAGCATGAAGCTGGTTTTGATTTACCAGGTGCAGAAATTAACAATGTGAGCGAGACCTTGAACAGAAAGAGAAGTTTTAGTAAACAGGCAATTAGGGCAGCAATTCAAGAGGTCAGCTCGGATCCAATAAAAGAAAGATAACAAACTGAAACTAAACAAGAATGCGTTCCTTGCAGCTTTGGAGTCAGGGAAGGGTTTATAATGATTTGTGGAAAACGGTTGTTTCAGTTGAGGCAACGTTGGGAGTTGGAGTTTCCTTTGCTCTGAGTTCCATGTACCTGTTGGAGTTCAGCCTGTGATGGTGTTTCAGGATCAGGGTGCTTTGGATCTGGGAAGTGATGCCAATGAATTTCAAGATGGCGATGGTTTGGTCAATGATACTGATACGGAGAAGGACCATGAGACCCCTGTGCAAAGTGTAGTTTCCCATGAGAATGTCCCTGAAGGGTGTGGGAATGATGGTGTACTCCCTGAATTGCTACCAGGGAGTTTTCAGGATTTGGGGCTTGAAAACAACTGGGCACTTGGCCCAACTGCAAAATTTAATGAGTAAATAGATAGGAGGCAGGAGATTAGTCAAAACAGGCAGACCGAACAGTGGCTTCGGCAGTCTGCCAGGATCCAACAGAAAAAGATAAGGGAAACTCAATTAAAGTGAAACCAATTTCTGAGTGCTTGGAATAGGTTAACTAGAGGATAAAAGTTCCAAGTATGGGAAATATAGTCAGATGAAGCATCGTTTGGAATCAAGTGTAGTTCTCATCCTTGTTTCATGGAAGCCTTGCTTGGAAGATTCTTATCTAAGTATTTCTTGTTTCATGGTTTGGATTCTTGGATTGTATGAATGCCTACTCATGCCTTGGATTAATGTTTCCCGGTTTTCTGAATTATCTCAGAGAAGTGTGGACTTTGTTTTTATGGACTTTGCTGAACTTTACCCTGGACTATTTTTGCTCCTGCTTATCTTCTTACCTAATTGGATTTACCTATTTCTTTTTAGTTTTTTTTACTTGCTGCTTTTTAATTATCTTCAATAAAAGGATTGTTTTCCAATCAATGGTGTGGTGTTTACAGTCAGAAGGCTTTTCCTATCCTACCAAGGTTTGCCAAGCTTATGTTTTGCCTATGGGATTTGCTTCCGGTTTGCTTATGGATTCAAGTGCCTAGTTTCATGGATTTCCATTGACTCTTTGTTCCTGTTTTCCTTTGTACCCGATGGACTAAACTGGATTTTAACTTTTACTGCTGTTTACTTTTTATTTCTTTGGCTACATATTTTCTTCAATAAACTGCTTGCTGATTTACCCAATTGGTATGGTGTTTAAGGTCAGAGACGATCCTGTTCTGGAGTACAACACCCATTCTTGAGCTAAGTGATCTAAAGGACTTGGTCAAGGATGTCCAACCATATGTTGTGTGACTTAAATCCAAGTTGTTTAAAGGACTTAACCAATGTATTGTCGAAGGCTTTCATGGCTGGAATCACTAGGTTCTTGTGGGTTTTTTCGGGCTATAGGGCCATGTTCTAGAGGCATTTCTCCTGACGTTTCGCCTGCATCTATGGCAAGCGTCCTCAGAGGTAGTGAGGTCTGTTGGAATTAGGACAATGGGTTTATATATCTGTGGAATGGCTGGGGTGGGGCAAGGAGCTCCTCCCTGCTGGAGCTAGGTGTGAATGTTTCAACTGACCACATTCATTAGCATTTGAAAGCCTGGCTGAGCCTGGGAAAATCTCTAAAATTACAACAGCAAAACAGCAGAGAGGAAACAACCAGGCACATCTTAACACCTCTCAACAGGGGATTTTCCCTGGCTCAGCCAGGCCTTCAAATGCTAATGAAGGCGATCAGTTGAAACATTCACACCTAGCTCCAGCAGAGAAGAGCTCTTTGCCCCACCCCAGCCATTCCACAGATATATAAACCCATTGTCCTAATTCCAACAGATCTCACTACCTCTGAGGATGCTTGCCATAGATGCAGGCGAAACGTCAGGAGAGAATGCCTCTAGAACATGGCCCTATAGCCCGAAAAAAACCACAAGAACCTAGACTTAAACCAATGTTTGCCAACCTGAGAACTCATCTTGTTTGTCTGAAGTCCGGCTTAACTAAGGTCCTGGCCATGGTTGGTCAATTATTATTTATACCAACCAACCAAGGATCCTATATTATAAATCCAGGTTATCTAGGATTCAGCCAAGGTTGGCCAACCATAGGATCCTATCTTATGTGGTTATTATCTCAACCACTTTCTCAAGGGTGGCCACTGAGGGATCCTATCTTGTATGCCTCTCATTGGGACACTGAAGTGGTCACTCTGTGAGAGGCCTTCAATGCCCAGTAGCCATTTGACCAGTTGCAACATGGCAACAACGGTCCCTACTCGCAAGCTCAGTGATGTTTTGCTCTAGCTCAGGCCTCCATAATCTTGTAAAAGGCCAAGATATTCCCCCAAAACCCTTCAATATGAGGCTGGGGAAGGGCCTGAACTCACTTGTGGGCTACAGGGAAGGCTTCTGTGAGGCATATCTGGCCCGCGGGCCATATTACATAGTGCAGGCCCACTCTATCTGCAGCTTGTGGACACTTCTGAAGGGCCTCCCCCAGCACTCCTCTTAATGATGGAGCCACTGACCGTGTCATCATCGAAGCCAGCCAGGCGGATGACCTTCTCGGCCACGGCGGCCTTGCGGCTGTCCATCTCCACAGTGTAGATTCGGGCGCCCAACGGCAATGCCTGCGCAGTGACCACAGTACCGTAGCCACAATAGGTGCCCAGCTCCAGGACGGTCAGCGGAGCCTTTTCGTAGATCAGCCGCTCCAGGATCTTGGCTAGAAGCAGATAGGAAAGAAAGGTTCGGGGAGAAAAAGTGGATCATAAATACAGGCCATCCCCAAGTAGTAAACATCTGACTTACAAACAACTCATAGTTCAGAACGGGGCTGAGACTGAAATTACCCAAATCCTGTTCCCCAGCAGTAGTGATCTCAAGTATCCAAAATAGTTAGTAGGGATAGGAGATCTCCATTATAGTGTTTATTTGACCAGGTAAACCCATGGTGAGCTTACAAACAAAGGAAGTGCCACATTACTCCTCGGTCCGGTTTCTGCTTATATAAACATTCTTAACTTTCTTCCGTTCTGTGCCACAAGCTCCATAAAGACATAATGTAATCTTGTAGCAACAGATAGGATAGATGATATCAAGAGAGATCCTTTCTGGAGAAAGAAAAGTACGGCTTTATTTCCAGCTGGGACTCTGGTGAGGAGTTGTGTCCAAAAGCAAACCAGAGCAATGATAAAGGCCTTGACTTTCCCTTTTATACACTTCAAATGCAGGCAAACAAAGAAACATGCTTCTACATATGAAACATCATCACTGCGTCACTTTAAGCATCATAGCAATATCAAATTCTATCTTCCCACATGTGAAAGGTATGTCTCTGCATTTCTTTCTAAAGAGCAGCACACAGCTTACAGCTTACATTCATCAATCAAGGGGCCTACTTTGACCTGTCAGGAGAGAGGGGGATAGGCTCCTTACTTAGAAGTTAGAGGCTATATTGTACCAGTCTCTGTAGAATGTATAGATAACAGGTCCCCCTCTTCTCTCCCCTTCAACATTCCTTCTGTCAGGATAATTGCAAATATCATATGTATGTTTTTCAATGTGTTAATAATGTAATTCAAGATGGTTTCAGTCATGTTCATTTTTGTTCATTTGTGTAGTAGATTATTATTGTTATAGGACAGAGAGTTAAGACCTTGGCTAAAGTTAGATAAGACTTTTCGTGAGAAGAAAAGGGAGTTAACCGGCTAGAAGACAGATAAGGCAGAAAGGCAGGATTTTCTTTGTCTGTGTGTTTAGTCCTGTACTTTGTCAGTCGCCATTTTCAGCCTCAAGATGTAGTCGCCTGTATATAGATGCTTTCAGTAAAGTTTATTATTTTGAAACTGAAGAAGAATGCTGTGTGGTAATTGAGTCTGTGTGTTTTGGAAACCTCAAGTCCGCTGTGCCAGACCGGAGGGTCTCACTCCGACACCTTCTCTGTCCTGCTGGCTTTCTTACACAGAGAGAACCTGATTTTTCTATACATTTCAGTGCTTGTAAAGTACATACAATATATAAATAAATCAATATAAATTTTTCAAATATCTCCCCATCAATCTTTTATGCTGTGAGCATGCATATTGAGACCCATTATGTCAGTGCTAGCTAATGAGCCTCCTTGTTTATTCCCATCAGTCTATGAGAAGATTTTTGACCTTGCTGTGTTTCCCCTCCCTACTGCTTAAGCTTTGAAGTCTTAGTTAAATCTGTTCTTCTGAAGTTCCATGCTGGTTCAAGCTACCCCTTCTTAACTAAAACTAAGTTTCAGGTGAGGCGCAGAGCAAGGATCAATACCAATTGGCAATATTGTTAAGCTATTAGGCAATTATCAGTATATACACTGTTGTTTGCAAATAAAATTAATGGTTAATACACATTACGCAGTTGTTGTTAAGAACACTTGTTAAGCAGTTATCATTACCAAATGTCACTGAAGTTATTATTAGTAAATATTGTTAAGCAAATATTGAAATTAGTTAAATTAGCAAATGCTAAACAAGAGGCTTTAAATGAAATTAGCAGCACGGAAGAAAATGTTTTTAAGAAACAAAATGTGACATGTAGAGGTCATACAAAGTTCGAGCTTACATAGGAAGTTGGGTTGTGGTTAAGCCAAAGGTTGTGGTTAAGTCTGCAGGTACAAGAAGGTACTTTCCATCAAGAAGTTGATGGAAAGGAAGAATAAAGGTCAAAATACTTTCCATAACAAAAATATTCTTGTTTACTTGAGGGTATATAACAGTGTACAAAAGCCAAGGGGGGCGGCAGTCTGTGCAAGCACAAACAGAAGTGCTGTCTGTCCATCTCATGCTGATCAGCTTGAACGGTGTGGTTTACCTGAACCTATTGGACTCTGTGGATTTCTTCGAAAAGGGACCCTGCACCCTAAACCTGTGATCCCTTACAACATCACAGATCTCAACTATTCCAACCTATGTGTCTTCAACAGGAACCAGGATTCGAATCTTTGTTCTCCTTTAGGCAAGTCAAGATGAAGGTGCATCTACCCTGTAGAATGATTCCAAGTTTGAAACCGCATTCACTGCCATGGCTCAGTGCTATGAAATCCTGGGAGTTGTGGTTTGGTGAGGCACCAGCACCCTTTGCAAGAGAAGACCTGAGACCTTGTTGAACTGCAACTCCCAGGATCCCATGGCATAGAGCTATGGCTCTGCTCCATAATGGGCGGGCTACTGGGTGGATGACTATAGTGTCAATCTTAGACTTGAGGTGTTCAGGCATTTTTGAGTCACACAGGATGTCAGTAGTTTCAACCAGGCAGCATTTATTTGTGGCATCACTGTTAGCAAGTTTGTTGAATATTTGTTAAGCAAAAGCAAATAGCACAGATTTGAGTTATTCCAAAGGATGTCTCTTCACTACCTTTCTGTGGGCCCAGGTTGCTGAGGTACTCGCAGTGGGCGCTCCACTGGTCGAAGGTCTCCAGGATGTGCTGGGGGTCCCCGGGAATGGCGTGGGTCAGCAGGTACTGGAAGGCACGCTCCTCTCGGGGGATGCCGGTCAGGAAGTCCCGCAGGTGCCGCACCAGGACTGCCCGGTAGAAGAGCAGAAAGTAGTGCCGGTAGCGGATGAGCAGTGTGGCCACAAAGGGCAGGAAGGCCAGTGCCAATGCTGGGGACACCATCCCTCCACCACCACCTGTGTCCTCAGGTGACCCTCAGACCTAGTAGGAGGCACAAAGAGAACATTAGGGATGTCCTTCCCTTGTGATCTCAGCAGAAGGACAGTGAGCCATGCTATGTCTTTTGTAATGGGTTGGAGGATAGCATGGAGATACTCTTAAATTGGCCAGTGACTTATTGAGCTCACTGGGATTGTATTAATTGATTGTTGGAGCTATATACCAAGACAATAATAATTTTATTAGATCGGCTATCATAAAAATTTGGCAGAAATATAAATCAAAAGCAGTTCGAAAACATGCAAATGTGAGTAGATCAATAGGTACCGCTCCGGCGGGAAGGTAACGGCGCTCCATGCAGTCATGCCAGCCACATGACCTTGGAGGTGTCTATGGACAACGCTGGCTCTTCGGCTTAGAAATGGAGATGAGAACCACACCCCAGAGTCAGACATGACTGGACTTAATGTCAGGGGACTACCTTTACCTTTACCTATAAATCAAAAATTACTGATAAAACTCCGTTATGGTTGTCCCCACTAGAGGCTACACAAAGAAGGGAAATGGCCAAGAGATAAAGAATTATTTAAAAAAAAAAAAGGAGAGATAGTAATAAAAACTCAACAAGAAATGAACATGATAAATAAAAAAATATCGTGGTTTCAATACAGACAAATAACTGAGTGCTACAAGAAGGACAGAAGACAAGGCTTCCAAGAGCAAGATACCTTTTGGGATAAGATACTAAAAACCGACAGAAAGACGATAACAAAATTATATAAGAAATTACCAGAATGGAATTCAGAAATGGAAGGAGAGAAAAAAATATATGAAAAGATGGAACGAAAACCTGGGAAAAACAATAAAAAAGAAGACTGGGAAAAAATCTGGAGAACAAAGATTAAATACACATATGCAATAGACCTAAAAGAAAATTGGTTGAAGGTGGCACATAGATGGTACATGACCCCTCAAAAATTGAATAATTCGTATAAAAACATAAATATAAAATGTTGGAAATGCGGGAAGATGGAAGGTTCTTACTTCCACATGTGGTGGTCACGTCCAAAAGCAAAATTATATTGGAGAAAAAAATCACAAAATAACACAGGAAATCCTAAACATAAAATTGCTATTTAGACCAGAGGTATTTCTGTTAGGAATGTTTGACTCAAAAATGGAAAGAAATACAGATAAACTCCTTTTCTTACTGAACACAGCTGCAAGAATGTGTTATGCGAAACTCTGGAAAAAAGAAGATATCCCAGAAACAAAGGATTGGATAGAAAAAGTCTTAGACATCAGAAATATGGATAGATTAACATATTTGATATTTAAAAATAAAGGAACCCCAATAAAAGAAACTGATTGGACAAATGTGACAAACTATACAGACCAAATAAATAAAAATACAGAAAGATAAGTAGAAGAGAAAACAGAAAAGAAATTAAAGATGTGCTGGGGTTCAGCCTGAGTTTGAACTTGAACCTGATTCTCTGTTTGTTCCTCCTGATGCTAATGAAAATATATTTACTGATGCTAATGGAAATGTACCTTTTGATGCCAATACTCCTGAAATTAGTGAGGAAGAAACTGCTGTAGGTTTGGAAAATGCCAATGTTCCTGAAATTAGTGAGGAAGGAACTTCTGTAGATTTGGAAAATGAAAGTACCAGTGTTCATGAGAATGTTTCAGAGGGAGACCTTAAACTTTCCCTCCCTTCTGCACCTGTTAACTGTAATGACAACAGAAGGGGCCAAATTTGGCAAGATAGAAATAAATCACTCAGCTTGCGTCGATCCTCCCGAATTCAAGAATTGAAAACATTGGCTTCAAAGAAGAGGGGCGGTTCACTGAATCAATTCTTGGGTTTTAATTGCCTTCCGCAGGGCTGACTGTCTCAGTTCAGGCATCGTTTCAGAATTGATGAAGACCTTGGCAGCTCTCCCGGTTCCCTGGCCATAGCTTGGGAAGATTTCTAGGATATCAAGTACGGTTAGTGAATCACTAAACAGGTTCCAGTATTTTGCAGTGTGGCTTTGGGTTTTGTTCTTGTGCATTTAAATTCATGTTTGCTGATTTTGCTGTGGCTTTTGACTTGCATTTTTCCTTTATTTTGTAACCATTTTTTCTTCAATAAAAAAGGATTGTTTTTCACAGTCAAGTGTGGTGGATAGTTATCTTAGGGCCTCGTTCCCTGCTCTGGATTGCAACAGTGTCTCATAAAGTGCATTTAGGACATATTGCACAGGATTCCTTATTCTGGGAAGGCACACTGGAAAAACCACGTTTTCAGGCTCCTCCTAAAGACTGCCAATGTTGGAGCATGTCTGATGTCCTTGGGGAGAGAGTTCCAGAGTCGGGGGGCCACCACCGAGAAGGCCCTGTCCCTCGTTCCCACCCATCGCGCTTGCGATGCAGGTGGGATTGTGAGCAAGGCCTCTCCAGATGAATAAAGAGATTGTGTGGGTTCGTATACAGAAATGCGGTCACGCAGGTAGATGGGTCCCAAACCGTTCAGGGCTTTGTAGGTAAGCACCTGCACCTTGAATTGGGTCCGGAAAATGAACGGCACCCAATGGAGCTCCTTGAACAGGAGGGTTGACCTCTCCCTGTAAGGAGCACCAGTTAACCAGTTAATAATTCCCAAGACATGTGCCTGGTAGCATGGGTATGGAACTGAAGGGTTAAAGTCACTCAGAACCTAGAGAGGCTGGACCAGAATGACACCTCCAGTCAAGTCAAACAGATCCAAGGTGTCAACACAGAGATACATTATGATTTATCACTGTCAGCCATGTGTCTTATCTCTTTCTTCCACTTTGACCATCTGAGTGTGAGTAACTGTAAATAGTTTGTAATGATTTATTATTTATTTATTTATTATTTAAAGCATTTATATTCCGCCCTTCTCACCCCGAAGGGGACTCAGGGCGGAGCACAACATATAAACAACAAACATTCAATGCCAAAACATATTAGACCGGGGGTCCTCAAACTTTTTAAACAGAGGGCCATACCTGTCATAAGATACACTGCCGGCATCATAAACTGGACGCAGACAGAACTGGACAATTTGGACAGAAAAACAAGAAAACTCATGCCCATTCAGAATTCACTCCATCCTTGCAGTGATGTTGACCGGCTCTATCTGCCTGGAAAGTCTGGGGGAAGAGGACTTTTACAAGTCAAACAAGCAGTTGAAGAAGAAAAACACAATGCCCTGGCAGAATATGTCAAGGAAAGCCAAGAACCTGCTTTAACTGAAGTCAATAATTGGAAACTTCTCAAAGCACAGCAGACAAAGAGTCAGTACAAGAAAACTGCACCCCAAACTAGAGCTGACAGCTGACACAACAAAGCATTACATGGAGAGTTCCTGGACAAAATGGAAGGAAAAGTTGACAAGAAGACCTGGTGATGGCTCATGAGTGAAACCCAGAAGAAGGAGACAGAAGGAGGCCTGGTTCTTGCAGCCCAGGAGCAAGACATCAGAACCAAGGCCATTAAGGCCAGGATTGAAAAATCAGCGGATGACTCAAAAAGGCAGACTGTGCAAGGAAGCGGATGAAACCATGGACCATCTCCTGAGATGCTGCAAGAAAATTGCACAGACGGACTACAAACAGAGGCACAACTCTGTGGCCCAAAGGATTCACTAGAACTTATGTCACAAGGACCACCTGCCAGGAGTCAAGAACTGGTAAAGGGATAATAAACCCACAAAGGTTGTGGAAAACGAACACGCAAAAATACTCTGGGACTTTAGAAACCAGACTGACAAAGTTTTGGAACACAACACGCCAGGCATCACAATTGTGGAAAAGAAAAAAGTCTGGATTATTGATGTTGCCATTCCAGGTGACAGACGCATTGAGGAAAGACAACAGGAAAAACTCTGCCGTGATCAGGACCTCAAAATTGAACTTCAAAGGCTCTGGCATAAACCAGTACAGGTGGTCCCAGTGGTCACTGGCACACTGGGTGCCGTGCCAAAAGATCTCAGCCGGCGTTTGGAAACAATACACATCGACAAAATCACGATCTGTCACCTGCAAAAGGCCACCTGACTTGGATCTGCACACAACATTTGAAAATACATCACACAAAATCACAATCTGTCACCTGCAAAAGGCCACCTGACTTGGATCTGCACACAACATTTGAAAATACATCACACAAAATCACAATCTGTCAGCTGCAAAAGGCCACCTGACTTGGATCTGCACACAACATTTGAAAATACATCACACAAAATCACAATCTGTCAGCTGCAAAAGGCCACCTGACTTGGATCTGCACACAACATTTGAAAATACATCACACAAAATCACAATCTGTCAGCTGCAAAAGGCCACCTGACTTGGATCTGCACACAACATTTGAAAATACATCACACAAAATCACAATCTGCCAGCTGCAAAAGGCCACCTGACTTGGATCTGCACACAACATTTGAAAATACATCACACAAAATCACAATCTGTCAGCTGCAAAAGGCCACCTGACTTGGATCTGCACACAACATTTGAAAATACATCACACAAAATCACAATCTGTCAGCTGCAAAAGGCCACCTGACTTGGATCTGCACACAACATTTGAAAATACATCACACAAAATCACAATCTGTCAGCTGCAAAAGGCCACCTGACTTGGATCTGCACACAACATTTGAAAATACATCACACAAAATCACAATCTGCCAGCTGCAAAAGGCCACCTGACTTGGATCTGCACACAACATTTGAAAATACATCACACAAAATCACAATCTGTCAGCTGCAAAAGGCCACCTTACTTGGATCTGCACGCATCATTTGAAAATACATCACACAGTCCTAGACGCTTGGGAAGTGTTCGACTTGTGATTTTGTGATACAAAATCCAGCATAGATATCTCGTTTGCTGTGACGTACTGTATTTTTGTGTCAGAATAATAATAATAATAATAATAATAATAATAATAATAATAGGCAGTAAAGGTGGTCCCAGTGGTGATCGGCACACTGGGTGCAGTGCCTAAAGACCTTGGCCTGCACTTAAATACAATCGACACTGACAAAATTATCATCTGCCAGCTGCAAAAGGCCACTTTACTGAATCTACACACATTATTCACTGATACATCACACAGTCCTAGACACTTGGGAAGTGTCCGACGTGTGATCCAATACAACAGCCAGCAAAGTGATCTTGTTTGCTGTGGACTCATCTTGTTGTGTTTCAAATAGTAATAATACAACGTTAAGTCCAAGGAAGGGAGTCCCAATGGCCCTGGACCCCTCCAGTTAAGGCCCCAAAGGAGGAAAGCGGCTCTTACCTGCCCAAAGCATTTCGCATCCGAGAGGCAAAGGCTGCCGAGTCTCACCTGGCCTGCGGGTGGGACACAAAGCAGCCACCTGTCGGCATCAATGATGGATGAGGCTGCCTATTGGGTTACCTGTTTGCGCTGGTCACCTTTGGGCTGAATAGCAAAGGCCCCTCTGGGTCCCCTGGGCAATGCAACTTCATGAGGCTTTAATTGCTATTTTAATGGGCAATTTAATATTAATTTCTAGCTGCCTTGGGAGAAAGGCAGCATACAAAGGCAACATACAAAATACAACAACTAGGTTTGTTTCAACTGCTTTGAATTGCCTTGAGTTCCATACTGGGAAAACATCATCCTCGTCATATTGTCGAAGGCTTTCATGGCTGGAATCACTAGGTTCTTGTAGGTTTTTTCGGGCTATAGGGCCATGTTCTAGAGGCATTTCTCCTGACGTTTCGCCTGCATCTATGGCAAGCATCCTCACAGGTAGTGAGGGCTGTTGAAAGTAGGAAAATGGGTTTATATATCTGTAGAAAGACCAGGGGTGGGACAAAGGACTCTCCTCTGCTGGAGCTAAGTGAGAATGTTCAACTGACCACCTTGATTAGCATATAATGGCCTGGCTGAGCCTGGGGAAATATTTTGTTGAGAGGTGTTAAGATGTGCCTGGTTGTTTCCTCTCTGCTGTTTTGCTGTTGTAATTTTAGAGTTTTTTAATACTGGTAGCCAGATTTTGTTCATTTTCATGGTCTCATCCTCATTGTTTTTTATTATAAAAGTCTTACAGTAATAGATAGAATATGTTTGTATACGTCCCCAAAACTTATACATTATTAATGTATAGTCGAAGGCTTTCATGGCCGGAATCACTGGGTTGTTGTAGGTTTTTTCGGGCTATATGGCCATGTTCTAGAGGCATTCTCTCCTGACATTTCGCCTGCATCTATGGCAAGCATCCTCAGAGGTAGTGAGGTCTGTTGGAACTAGGAAAGTGGGTTTATATATCTGTGGAATGACCAGGGTGGGACAAAGGACTCTTGTCTGCTGGAGCTAGGTGTGAATGTTTCAACTGACCACCTTGATTAGCATATAATGGCCTGATAGTGCACATTTTTCTGTGGTCATGGGGGTTCTGTGTGGGAGGTTTGGCCCAATTCTATCATTGGTTGGGTTCAGAATGCTCTGTGATTGTAGGTGAAAAATAAATCCCAGCAACTACAACTCCCAAATGTCAGGATTCTATTTTCCCCAAACTCCACCAGTGTTCACATTTGGGCATATTGAGTATTCGTGTAGAGTTCGGTCCAGATCCATCATTGTTTGAGTCCACAGTGATCTCTGGATGTAGGTGAACTACAACTCCAAAACCAAAGGACATTGCCTTTCAAACCCTTCCTGTATTTTGTGTTGATCATGGGAGAACTGTGTGCCAAGTTTGGTCCAATTCCATCATTGGTGGGGTTCAGGATGCTCTTTGATTGTAGGTGAACTATAAATCTCAGCAACTACAACTCCCAAATGACAAAATCAATTTTTTGAGTGAAGGACATACATTGGGTTATTAGGTGTCTTGTGTCCAAATTTGGTGTCAATTCATCCAGTGTTTTTTTAGTTATGTCAATCCCACAAACAAGCATGACATTTTTATTTATATATAGACTAGCTGTACCCGCCACATGTTGCTGTGGCCCAGTCTGTGTATATGTATTTTGTGTGTGTATATATGTGTGTTTGTGTATATATATATATGGTGTATATATGTGTGTGTGTATTTGTGTATTTGTGAGTTTATATGTGTACATGCATATTGTGTATATGTGTATGCTCGTCTATAGGCATATTTGTGTGTATATATGTATGTATGTGGATATGTGTATATGTGCAAGTGTCTGTATATGTGTGTGTAAATGTGTATATATTTGTGTGTGTTTTTGCATATATATACATGTGTGTATGAGTGTGTGCATGTGCATATGTATATGACTGTATGTGTATATGAGTGTATGTGCATGTGCATATGTATATGCGTATGTATGTGTGTATATGTGTATATTGGTGTGTGTTTGTGCATATATGTGTGTGTGTATGAGTGTGTGCATGTGCATATGTATATGAGTGTATGTGTATATGAGTGCATATGTATATGTATGTGTGTATATAGGTGTGTGTTTGTGCATATATATGTGTGTGTGTGTGTATGAATGTGTGCTTATGCATATGTATATGAGTGTATGTGTATATTTATATATGGTGTATCTTTTGAGTTTTTAAGTCTTCCACTGGGGTTGTGTTTGTGTGCGCGCGTGTGTGTTTATGGGTGATGGACACTTATTGGACTGTTAGGTATGTTATGTCCAAATTTTGTGTCAATTCGTCAAGTGGTTTTTGAGTTATGTTAATCCCACAAACGAACATGACATTTTTATTTATATAGATATAATTCTTCCAAATTTGCAAATACATACATCTGCAAATGCAAACACAGAAGTAGGCTAGAAACTTCTTGGAGTACCAAAAGTTTTCCCAAACTCTTAAAACAAAACTGGACTTTAAAAGAAGAATCTTGTGGCCGGAAGGGAGGTCAGTCGGTCAGTTCCTAGCAGCGCAGCCTCTTGACAGCCCTGGAGAGCTTCTTCATGTCCTTGTCCCCCTTTGGCCACCGCCGGACCCAGGACAGGACTATCCGGCCATCCACTCTGCGTCCGGCACCAAGGACCACGTCTCCGGCCGCCAACTCTGGACAAGAGCAGGGCCCTTCATCCGACATCTCCAAAGCAAGGGGCCCTTGCAGCCCCTCTTGTGTCCAGCCTGGACCTTTGAAGATAATGGAGCGGCCACGCAACTCAGGGACCACCTCCAGGCCACTTTCGGACACCGAGACCGACCCAATGGTCATCTTTAAAGCTGTGGGAGAGAAAAAGGGTGGCTGAGAGGTCAAAGGGTCAGCAGTCAGTTCATTCTTAGGGACATCCACACTGCAGTGTGACATGGGAAAACTCCAGCCCTCCAGATGTTTTGGACTTCAACTCCCACAATTCCTAACAACCGGTTGTAATATTAATATTACTAATGTTCAGTAGTAGTACAATATTGCTTTAATCTTATATATTGTACTAGCTGTACCCGCCACACGTTGCTGTGGCCAACCCTCCCTCCCTCTTTCTCTCCTTCTTTCTTTCTCTCCTTCCTTCCCTGTTTTTCTTTCCCTTCTTCTTTCTTCCTTCTCTACCTATTTCTTCCTCGCTTCCTTTGCTCTTTGGTTCCATCCTTCCTCTTCTCTCCCCTTTCTTCCTTCTTCTTCTCTCCTTCTTTCCTTTCCTCTCTCCTTCCTTCCTTCACTTTTTATTTCCTTCTCTCCTTCCTTCCTTCCTTCTCTACCTTTCTTTCTTTCCTTCCCTCCCTTCCTCCCTCTTTCTTTCTTCCTCCTCTCCTTCCTACCCTCTCTCTTTCCTTCCTTCTTTCACTTTTTTATTTCTTTCTCTCCTTCCTTCTCTCTTTCTCTATCTCTCCCTTTCTGCCTTCTCTCCTTCCTTCCCTCTCTCTTTCCTGCCTTCTTTCACTTTTGTATTTCCTTCTCTCCTTCCTTCTCTACCTTTCTTTCTTTCCTTCTCTCCCTCTTTCTCCCTTCTCTCCTTCCTTCCTTCTCTACCTTTCTTTCCTTCTTCCCTCCCCTCCCTCTTTCTTTCTTCTCTCTCCTTCCTTCCCTCTTTCCTGCCTTCTTTCACTTTTGTATTTCCTTCTCTCCTTCCCTCCTTTTCCCCCTTTTTCTCTCCCTCCTTCTTTCCTTTCTTTCCTTCTCTCCTTCTTTCCCTCTTTCCTGCCTTCTTTCACTTTTGTATTTCTTTCTCTCCTTCCCTCCTTTCCCTCCTCTTTCTCTCCCTCCTTCTTTCCTTCCTTTCTTGCCCCTTTCTGTGTATATGTGTTTTGTGTGTGCATATATGTGTGTATATATATGGCTTTGCACATGCGTTGTAATGCCTTTTTTTTTTGGTGTTTTGGCTTTTTAAGTCTCATCCACTGCATTTTCCAGTGTTTTTAGTAGTGATGGTCACTCGTTGGCCTGAGAGGTGTCTTGTGTCCAAATTTGGTGTCAATTTGTCCAGTGGTTTTTGAGTTCTGTTAATCCCACAAATGAACATTACATTTTTATTTATATAGATTGTATATAATCGTAATATTAATAGCATTCATGATAATAACAGAAATAATACCATATTTGTTTGGTGATTTGTTTACCTGCCTCTGCTCATGGCGAAGGTGGTGTCCAATATAGATAATATATATAGAAATACATAAATATATAGTACATAAATACATAAACTCACCAAAGTCCTGGCTGCAGAGGATTTCCAGGAGGTCCTTCTCTCTGCTGAGACAGGCCGTGCACACTGCACCTGTAGCGGCAAATGGGGAATGAAAACGGCTGGGACGAGACCCCACTTTGGAGGTCTCAAAGGGCATGCAGCTTTGGGGGTCAGAGGTCACCCCAGCCCATAACATTCCCAGGCCCAAACCTGATGCTGAAAGGCAGGCACTGGGGAAAGGAATGGCCACCTTAACCCATTTGCTTCCAGCCAGAAGGAAGGTGCAGAGAAGAGTAGAGGGTGAGTCCTGGCACCATGACTAGGAAGGAGGGAAGATAATAAGGGAACCTTTGCCATCGATGGGCAGGATTCTGGCCAGAGTGTCCGACTCACCCATGACCCATGTTCTCACTAGTGGACATTGGCCATTGAAGGGCAGGATTCTGGCCAGAGTTTTGGACTCACCCATGACTCATGTTCTCACTAGTGGACATTGGCCATTGAAGAGCAGGATTCTGGTCAGTGCCAGACTTAATCTTGACCCATGTTCTGACTAGTGGACATTGATGGACACGATTCTGGACAGAGTGCTGGACTTAATCTTGACCCATGTTCTGACTAGTGGACATTGGCCATTGAAGGACAGGATTCTGGCCAGAGTGTCGGACTTAATCTTGACCCATGTTCTCAGTAGTGGACATATGCCATTGATGGACAGGACTCTGAACCTTGACCCATGTTCTCACTCATGAACATTTAGCACCGATGGGCAGGATTCTGGCCAGAGTGTCGGACTTAATCTTGACCCATGTTCTGACTAGTGGGCATTGGCCATTGATGGGCAGGATTCTGGCCAGAGTGTCCAACTCACCCATGACCCATATTCTCACTAGTGGACATTGACCATTAATGGACAGGATTTTGGCCAGAGTGCTGGACTTAATCTTTTCTCATGTTCTGACTAGTAGGCGTTGACCATTGATGGACAGGATTCTGGCCAGAGTCTCGGACTTAATCTTGAGTCATGTTCTCACTAGTGGACATTGGCCATTGATGGGCAGGATTCTGGCCAGAGTCTCGGACTTAATCTTGACCCATGTTCTCAGTAGTGGACACATGCCATTGATGAACAGGACTCTGAACCTTGACCCATGTTCTCACTCATGAACACTTAGCATCAATGGACAAGATTCTGGCCAGATTGTCGGACTTAAACTTGACCCATGGTCTCACTAGTGGACATTGGCCGTTGATGGCCAGGATTCTGGCCAGAGTCTCGGACTTAATCTTGACCCATGTTCTCAGTAGTGGACATATGCCATTGATGAACAGGACTCTGAACCTTGACCCATATTCTCACTCATGAACACTTAGCATCAATGGACAAGATTCTGGCCAGACTGTCGGACTTATTCTTGACCCATGTTCTCACTAGTGGACATTGGCCGTTGATGGCCAGGATTCTGACCAAAGTCTCGGACTTAATCTTGACTCAAGTTCTTACTAGTGGACATTTATCATCGATAGATAGGATTCTGGCCAGAGTGTCTGACTCACCCATGGCCCATATTCTCACTAGTGGACATTGGCCATTAATAGACAGAATTTTGGCCAGAGTGCTGGACTTAAACTTGACCCATGTTCTGATTAGTGGACGTTGGCCATTGATGGACAGGATTCTGGCCAGAGTGTTCAACTCACTCATGACCCATATTCTCACATGACCCATATTCTCACTAATGGACAGGATTCTGGCCAGAGTGCTGGACTTGACCCATATTCTGACTAGTGGACGTTGGCTATTGATGGGACTGGATTCTGGCCAGAGTGTTTACCTGACCCCTGACCCATGTTCTCTGTAGTGGACATATGCCATTGATGGACAGGACTCTGAACCTTGACCCATGTTCTCACTCATGAACACTTAGCATCAATGGACAAGATTCTGGCCAGAGTGTCGGATTTAATCTTGACCCATGTTCGCACTAGTGGACATTGGCTATTGAAGGGTAGGATTCTGGCCAGAGTGTCTGACTCACCCATGACTCATGTTCTCACTAGTGGACATTTACCATCAATGGTCAGGATTCTAGTTGGTGTCAGACTTTATCTTGACCCATGTTCTGACTAGTGGACATTGGCCATTGATGGGCAGGATTCGGGCTAGTGTCCAAACCCTTCCACTCGCTATGGGCTCACCTCCGTCCTCTTCCTCCTTAGGGGTCAGCGTTGGCGATTGTGGCCGCAGGGGAGGGACGCAGAGCCCCTCGTCTCCGGAGGGGAAGCGGCTGCAGTTGAGCATCTCCGGCCAGGGGAAGCCGAAGGCGGCCATGACAGGGGCACACCCCTCTTGCACGCCTTGGCAGAGTGACCGGCAGGGGACGATGGGCTCCTCCATGTCCTCCAGGCAGACGGGGGCAAAGAGCGAGCAGAGGAACTTCTTGGTGTCGCGGTGGCAGCCTTTGCCCAGGAGTGGCACCCAAGCCCCCGCCTGCTGCACCACCTCCTTGGGGGTCTCGTGGCCCAAGAGGTTGGGCAGGCGCATCCGGCCATAGCCCACGCCACGGCATAAGGTCAAGCCGCCAGGTAGCGGGTGGCAACCGCCACGGCCGGAGGAGGGACGGAGCCGGTGCCGGGGGAAGTCCGGCGAGGAGGCGGCCACGGAATAGCTCCAGGTGGCCAGCAGCAGACCCCAGAGAGCCATTGGGAGCCTATAGAAAGAGAGACAGGCTGGGATAGCACATAAGGCAGGCATGGCCACACTTGCGCCCTCCAGGTGTTTTGGATTATAACAATAATAATAACAACAATAATAATAATGATATAGTTGAAAGAGACCACATGGGTCATCTAGCTCAATCTTATGGAGTCATGGGAGTTGTAGTTTTGCAAGGTCTCTTGGCATATCTGCCAATGAGTGCATCAAACTACAACTTCCCAAGATATCACAGTATTGGGTGCATATGGATGCAGTTTGGTGCCACTTTAAACTGCCATGGCTCAATGTTATTAAGTCATAGGAGTTGTAGTTTTGCAAGGTCTCTTGGCATTTCTGTGAATTGGTGCACCAAACTAAAACTTCCCAAGGTATCACAGTATCGGGTGCATAATGGATGCAGTTTGGTGCCACTTTAAACTGCCTTGGCTCAATGTTATGGGATCATGGGAGTTGTAGTTTTGCAAGGTCTCTTGGCATATCTGCCAATGAGTGCATCAAACTACAACTTCCCAAGATATCATAGTATCTGGTGCATATGGATGCAGTTTGGTGCCACTTTAAACTGCCTTGGCTCAATGTTATGGGATCATGGGAGTTGTAGTTTTGCAAGGTCTCTTTTCTGCCAATGAGTGCATCAAACTACAACTTCCCAAGATATCACAGTATCCAGTGCATAATGGATGCCATTTGGTTCCACTTTAAATTGCCATGGCTCAATCTTATGAAGTCATGGGAGTTGTAGTTTTGCGAGATCTCTTGGCATACCTGCCAATGAGTCCATCAAACTACAACTTCCCAAGATATCACAGTATTGGGTGCATAATGGATGCAGTTTGGTGCCACTTTAAATTGCCATGSCTCAATCTTATGAAGTRATGGGAGTTGTAGTTTTGCGAGATCTCTTGGCATTTCTGCCAATGAGTGCATCAAATTATAACTTCCCAATATATCAAAGTATCTGGTGCATATGGATGCAGTTTGGTGCCACTTTAAACTGCCATGGTTCAATGTTGTGGGATCATGGGAGTTGTAGTTTTGCAAGTCTTGGCATTTCTCAATGTTATGGGATCATGGGAGTTGTAGTTTTGCAAGGTCTCTTGGCATTTCTGTGAATGAGTGCACCAAACTACAACTTCCCAAGATATCACAGTATCTGGTGCATAATAGATGCAGTTTGGCACCACTTTAAACTTCCATGACTTATTGTCAAGGGTGTTATAGTTTTGCAAGGCCTTGAGCCTTCTTTGCCAAAAACTGAAATACAGTTCCCAGGTTTTTCTCTGCCAAAGATTGCTGGTGGTAAATACAACTCCCAGGTTTCCACACCATTGATAAAGTAGGGTCAAAGAAACTGAATTAATTTTGCAGTGCAGATGCACCCTTGATATACCTGCTGTGTGTTTGGGGATGGGTCCAGTTGCAAGACCCCTTCCCCACAATTGGGGGGGGGGGGCTTGAACCCCAATCCTTCATGCCCCCCCCCCCCCCCCCCCCGCGCCCCTTTCCTAAAAAGCAAAGCCTTGGAAACTCTGCTCTTTGCATTCAAAGACTTTCCTCTTTGGAGCAAACCAGAAGCCCTCTCTCAACCCATCCTGGTTGCTCCCCATTTGGGGGTCCCCACCTCCCCAAGACCCCTAAAGACTAAGCTTCACCTATTAAGCAAAAAACAGTTTCACAAACCCTGCTCCTGGATGGTCCAAGAAGGAAGAAGAAAAGCAGGGAAACCTAAAAAGGAGGAAGGAAGGAAAGAAGGAAGGGGGTGGTCCCTTTAAAGGACAGGAAGCCCCCCCCAAAAAAAGGGAGGGGCAGCAGGGTCATAAAAGGGGAGTCCAGCCCTGCAATGAGGAGGGCTGCAATCAGCCCTCTCCTTCCAAAACAATGGGAATGTGGGAAGGATAAAAAGGAAGAGGAGGAGAAAAGAAAGGGCTGGAAAGGACAAAGAGGCTGGGAATTGCCTTAGTCTGCCCATCTGCTTAGGGGTCAGGCTACATGACCTCAATCCCTACCTGGAATTATGAGGACTCCAACTGGACACAGGGCTATTCCAGGGAAAGTTTGGCCAATGAAGAAAAGGTTGAGACTAGGACTTTAAGAAGTTCAAGATATGGGTTGAGGCCATGTAGACTGGCCCCAGAGCCTGGCTTTGTGGGGAGGAGCACCTAAAAGGGCATGTAGCCTGACCCTGGAGCCTAGATTTGTGGGCAGGGGCACCCAAAGGACATGCAGTCGTACCCCAGAGCCCAGATTTGTGGGAAGGGGCACCCAAAGGGCATGCAACCTGACCCCAGAGCCCAAATTTGTGGGGTACCCAAAGGGCATGCAGTCTGACCCCGGAGCCCAGATTTGTGGAAAGGGGCGGACAAAGGGCACGCAGTCTGACCCCAAAGCCCAGATTTGTAGGAAGTGGCATCTAAATTGCATGCAGTCGTATCCCAATGCCCAAATTTGTGGGAAGGGGCACCCAAAGGACATGCAGTCTGACCCCAAAGCCCAGATTTGTAAGAAGGGGCATCTAAAGGGCATGCAATCGTACCTCAAAGCCCAGATTTATGGCAAGAGGCACCCAAAGGGCATGCAATCCGACCCCGGAGCCCAAATTTGTAGGAAGGGGCGGCCAAAGGGTATGTAGTTCAACCCCAGAGCCCAGATTTGTGGGAAGGGAACCCAAAGGGCATGCAGTCTGACCCCAGAGCCCACATTTGTAGGAAGGGGCTTCTAAAGGGCATGCAGTCTGACCCCGGTGCCCAGATTTGTGGGAAGGGGAACCCAAAGGGCATGCAGTCTGACCCTGGAGCCCATTTGTAGGAAGGGGCATCTAAAGAGCATGTAGTCGTACGCCAAAGCCCAAATTTATGGGAAGAGGCACCCAAAGGACTTGCAGCCTGACCCCAGAGCCCAGATTTGTAGGAAGGCACACCCAAAGGGCATGCAGTCGTACCCCAAAGCCCTAATTTATGTCAAGAGGCACCCAAAGGGCATGCAGTCTTACCCCGGAGCCCAGATTTGTGGGAAGAGGCACCCAAACGGCATGTAATCGTACCCCAGAGCCCAAATTTGTGCGAAGGGGCGGACAAAGGGTATGTAGTTCAACTCCAGAGCCCAGCTTTGTGGGAAGGGACACCCAAACGACATGCAGCCTGACCCGGGAGCCCAGATTTGTGGGAAGGGGCACCCAAAGGGCATGCAGTCGTACCCCAGAGCCCAAATTTGTGGGAAGGGGCACCCAAAGGACATGCAACCTGACCCCAGAGCCCAGATTTGTGGGAAGGGGCACCCAAAGGGCATGCAGTCTGACCCCGAAACCCAGATTTGTGGGAAGGGGCACCCAAAAGGCATGAAGTCTGACCCCGGAGCCCAGATTTGTAGGAAGGCGCACCCAAAGGGCATGCAGTCGTACCCCAAAGCCCTAATTTATGTCAAGAGGCACCCAAAGGGCATGCAGTCTTACCCCGGAGCCCAGATTTGTGGGAAGAGGCACCCAAACGGCATGTAATCGTACCCCAGAGCCCAAATTTGTGGGAAGGGGCACCCAAAGGACATGCAACCTGACCCCAGAGCCCAGATTTGTGGGAAGGGGCACCCAAAGGGCATGCAGTCTGACCCCGAAACCCAGATTTGTGGGAAGGGGCACCCAAAAGGCATGAAGTCTGACCCCGGAGCCCAGATTTGTAGGAAGGCGCATCCAAAGGGCATGCAGTCGCACCCCAGAGCCCAAATTTGTAGGAAGGTGCACCCAAAGGGCATGCAGTTGTACCCCAGAGCCCAAATTTGTGGAAAGGTGTACCCAAAGGGCATGCAGTCTGACCCCGGAGCCCGGAACAAATATCGTTGCTGTGTGGAGCCATGGAAAGAAGCCTGCTGGTCCCCCCATGAAGTTTTCCCAAAAAAGGTGGGTTCCAGGGCGCAGGGGTCCATTCAGCAGCAAGTAGCACAGTAGTTAGTCTTAGAATTAGTCCAGGAAAGAGATGGCACTGGTTTGGAGTCGATCGGTTGACCTGCGGATATGGGGACCCGGTGGGTTTCCATATCCGCGGTTCAAAGGAACACAGTTTCGGCCTCCTTGAGATGCTGTGGTTGCATCTCGGGTTAGCCGACCGAGTTCCGCAGCTCCGGAGAGGAAAAGTTCATATGGATAGATTAGCTTGAAGACAGGGGCCTGTGAGTTCATCCGGGGCAGAGAGTTCCACCGCTGAACAGCTCTCTTAGTCAGGAAGTTCTTCCTAATGTTCAGATGGAATCTCCTTTCCTGTAGTTTGAAGCCATTGCTCCATTGCATCCTAGTCTCCAGGCCAGCGGAAAACAAGCTTTCTCCTTCCTCCCTGTGACTTCCTCTCACATCCTTATACATGGCTATCATGTCTCTTCTCAGTCTTCTCTTCTTCAGGCTGGACATGCTCAGCTCTTTAAGCCGCTCCACATAGGGCTTGTTTCATTATTCATAGGAAGTTTGCGGGGACTGGAAGAGAAATAGTAATAATAGTAGATAGGTAAGAGAAGATCCAACCAGTCCATCCTCCAGAAAAGAAAGCCCAGCTGCTCACTGGAGGGAAGGAGATGAGAGGCCAAGATGGAAGTCCTTCGGCCACATAAAGAGAAGACAGGAAAGCTTGGAGAAGAGAATCATAGAATCTCTTCTCCAAGCTTTCCTGTCTTCTCTTTATGTGGCCGAAGGACTTCATCCTAGAGTTGGAAGAGACCTCCTGGGCCATCCAGTCCAACCCCATTCTGCCAAGAAGCAGGAATGTTGCATTCAAATCACCCCTGACAGATGGCCATCCAGCCTCTGTTTAAAAGCTTCCAAAGAAGGAGCCTCCACCACACTCCGGGGCAGAGAGTTCCACTGCTGAACGGCTCTCACAGTCAGGAAGTTCTTCCTCATGTTCAGATGGAATCTCCTCTCTTGTAGTTTGAAGCCATTGTTCCATTGCGTCCTAGTCTCCAAGGAAGCAGAAAACAAGCTTGCTCCCTCCTCCCTGTGGCTTCCTCTCACATATTTATACATGGCTATCATGTCTCTTCTCAGCCTTCTCTTCTTCAGGCTAAACATGCCCAGCTCCTTAAGCCGCTCCTCATAGGGCTTGTTCTCCAGACCCTTGATCATTTTAGTCGCCCTCCTCTGGACACATTCCAGCTTGTCAATATCTCTCTTGAATTGTGGTGCCCAGAATTGGACACAATATTCCAGGTGTGGTCTAACCAAGCAGAATAGAGCATGGGGAGCATGACTTCCCTAGATCTAGACACTAGGCTCCTCTTGATGCAGGCCAAAATCCCATTGGCTTTTTTGCCACAGCATCACATTGTTGGCTCATGTTTAACTTGTTGTCCACGAGGACTCCAAGATCTTTTTCACACGTACTGCTCTCAAGCCAGGCATCGTCCCCCATTCTGTATCTTTGCATTTCGTTTTTTCTGCCTAAGTGGAGTATCTTGCATTTGTCCCTGTTGAACTTCATTTTGTTAGTTTCGGCCCATCTCTCTAATCTGTCAGATCGTTTTGAATCCTGCTCCTGTCCTCTGGAGTATTGGCTATCCCTCCCAATTTGGTGTCGTCTGCAAATGAGGCCGGGGAAAATGGAAGGAAAAAGGAAGAGGGGCCGACCAAGGGCAAGATGGATGGATGGCATCCTTGAAGTGACTGGATTGACCTTGAAGGAGCTGGGGGTGGTGACGGCTGCCGGAGAGCTCTGTCGTGGGATCGTCCATGACATCACAAAGAGTCAGAAACGACTGAATGAATGAACAACAACACAACCTAACACCCCTGATACTGCAATGGGTTAAATCCTTGTGCTGGCAGGACTGAAGGCCAACAGGTCAGAGGTACAATCTGGGGAGAGAGGGTTGAGCTCCCTCTGTCAGCTCCAGCTCCCCATGCGGGGACGTGAGAGAAGCCTCCCACAAGGATGGTAAAACATTAAAACATCCAGGCAATACCCCTGAGCAACGTCCTTACAGACGGCCAATTCTCTCACACCAGAAGCAACTTGCAGTTTCTCAAGTCGCTCCTGACATGAGGAAAAAAAATACTAACACTCCCAAAATAAACAATGTCTTTTTCAAATAACCTAGGTAACGTGGGTTACCCAAACTAGTAATATAATTACCCAAACTCTATAATAGATAATATAATATTTTATAGAGTATATATTATATCATATACATTATATAACAATATAATATAATTACCCAACCTCTATAATAGATAATATAGCATATATTATATTACATATATTTTATAATAATTACCCAATCTCTATAATAGATAATATAATACATTATACAGTGTGTGTGTGTGTATAATATAATATAATATAATATAATATAATATAATATAATATAATATAATAATATAATTACCCAAACTTAATAATAGATAATATATTGTCAAAGGCTTTCATGGCCAGAATCACTAATACATTACATAGTATATATTATATAATAATATAATTACCCAAACTCTATAATAGATAATATAATATATTATATAGTATATAATACATTATATACATTATATAACAATATAATATAATTACCCAACCTCTATAATCGATAATATTATATATTATATATTATATATAGATTATAGTAATTACCCAATCTCTATAATAGATAATATAATACATTATACAGTATATATTATATATTATATGATAATATAATTACCCAAACTGAATAATAGATAATATAATAATATAATTACCCAAACTCTGTAATAGATATATTATAGATAGAATAGTTTCCCAAACTAATATATAATATATAAAATATCATTAATAATGTATACTAAAGTTATAATATAATAGATATAATATAGTTACCCAAACTAATATATAATATATAATAAAATAATATCTCATTAATAATGTATACTAAAATAATATATTAATAACAATATATAATATAATAAATGTTCTGGTTGCGGATGACATGATAAATAAAATAAATAAATAAATAAATAATATACAATATTAGTTACCCAAACTAATATATAATTAATAATGTATACTAAAATAATAATATATTAATAACAATATATAATATAATATTAATAGTAATATATAATATTATAATATAATAAAAATAATATAAACATAAAATATATTATAAATATAATATATATAATATATAATATATTATTAATATATTATTATTTTAGTATACATTATTAATTATATATTATTTTATATTAATAACAATATATAATATAATATTAATAGCAATATATAATATTATAATATAATAAATATAATATAAATATAAAATATAAAATATATTATTAATATATTATTATTTTAGTATACATTATTAATTATATATTATTTTATATTAATAACAATATATAATATAATATTAATAGCAATATATAATATTATAATATAATAAATATAATATAAATATAAAATATAAAATATATTATTAATATATTATTATTTTAGTATTATTTTATATTAATAAAATAAATAATATTAATAGTAATATATAATATTATAATATAATAAAATAATATAAAATAAATATATATAAATATATAATATATAATTATTATATTATTATTATATACTATTATTAATATATATATTATTTATATTAAAAATATATAATAATAATATATAAATATAATATTATTAATATAATAAATATAATATAAATATAATATAAAATATATTATTAATATAATATTAGTATAATTATTAATTATATATTATTTTAAGTATAAAATATATAATATATAATATAAGGGAGGAAAGGGAAGGGAGGAAAAACTAAACTGAGCCTATTGCGCATGCGCAGCCTGTGTTTCGCAACCAAAAAAACCCCCAGACACATCACGTGACCGCCTCCTGCGAGACAAGGCAGGGCAGGAATGGAAATTTCCGCTCCGCCGTACCGTACCCAATGCGCATGCGCTCCCTTCAGACAGAGAGCGGATTGGCTAGCGCGTGAGCTCAGAGCCCGGCCTCCCTTTGGGAGGATCACGTGAGCCAGCCCCACCCTCGCCAGCCTTGCCAGATTCCCCGGATGTTGACAGAGCACCCAGAGTCGCCTTCACGTGACCGGAAGTGAGGGCGGAAGTGAGGGGGAAAGTGAAAAAGGAAGCACTGCGAGGGGAGCAGCGGCAGAGGGTCCGTCGGCGGGCCGGTGGGCGGCTTCTTCGGCCTCCTCGTCGTCCTCCGCTGTCTCCGCCGCCATGGGCTGTTGCTACAGCAGCGAGAACGAGGCCTCGGACCAGGTCTGGGCCCAAATAATGGGGGGAAAGGGAAGGGCCCCTAAAGGTCATCAAGACCCACCCCAGAGGGACATGCCTGGGCCTTTTAGGGTTTGCTGTGGGCCCACTTTCGTGGGTTCTGTGTGGGAGGTTTGGCCCAATTCTATCATTGGTGGGGTTCAGAATGGTCTTTGATTCTAGGTGAACTATAAATCCCAGCAACTACAACTCCCAAATGTCAAGATTCTATTTTCCCCAAACTCCAGTAGTGTTAACATTTGGGCATATTGAGTATTCATGCCAAGTTTGGTCCAGATCCATCATTATTTGAATCCACAATGATCTCTTGATGTAGGTGAACTACAACTCCCCAACTCAACATCATTGTTTGTGTCCACAGTGCTCTCTGGATGTTGGTGAACTACAACTTGCAAACTCAACGTCAGTGCCCACCAAATCCTTCTAGTGTTTTCTGTTGGTCAAGGGAGTCCTGTGTGCCAAGTTTGACCCAATTCCATCATTGGTGGGGTTCAGAATGGTCTTTGATTGTAGGTGAACTATAAATCCCAGCAACTACAACTCCCAAGTGACAAAATCAATTTTTTTTGAGTGAATGACATACATTGGGTTGTTTGGTGTCTTGTGTCCAAATTTGGTGTCAATATGTCCAGTGGTTTTTGAGTTCTGTTAATCCCACAAACAAACATTACATTTTTATTTATATAGATCAGAAGTATTGCATAAATTAATATAAAACTGATAAAAATAGAAGGTGTGCAGACAGCTAAATATCTTTTGACCAAAAACGCAACAGCAACGGCATTGTCTGTAGCCTTTGGGTGTCCTTTTGGACTCATCACTGACTCTTGAAGCTCAGTCGTCGGCAGTGTCCGGGAGGGCTTTTGCACAATTGAGACTCGTGCGCCAACTGCAACCGTACCTCGTGAAGGCGGATCTGGCCAGGGTGGTCCATGCCTTAGTCACCTCTAGATTGGACTACTGCAGTGCACTCTACGTGGGGCTGCCCTTGAAAACGGCCCGGAAATTCCAACTGATCCAACGGGCGGTGGCCAGGTTGTTAACTGGTGCTCCTTACAGAGAGCTCCATTGGTTGCCGTTCATTTTCTGGTCCCAATTCAAGGTGCAGGTGCTTACCTACAAAGCCCTGAATGGTTTGGGACCTACCTACCTGCGTGACTGCATCTCCGTATATGAACCCACACACGATCTCTCAGATCATCTGGAGAGGCCCTGCTCACGATCCCACCTGCGTCGCAAGCATGTTTGGTGGGGACGAGGGACAGGGCCTTCTCCATAGTGGCCCCCTGATTCTGGAACTCTCTCCCCAAGGACAGCAGAGAAGCCCCAACATTGGCAATCTTTAGGAAGAGCTTGAAGACGTGGTTGTTCCAGTGTGCCTTCCCAGAATAGGAAACTCCAAGCATCATGTCTCAAATGCACTTCACTAGAGATTTAAGATCGTCTGCACACCACACCTATCTCCAAAAACCTACTCATTTCACCTGGTCATGTCCAGCATTTTTAAAATTTTTAATCATTACATTTGGCCCGGCCTTAGTTTTTAAATGTGTCATGGTGTTATTGTCTAATGTTATTGCTATTGTTTTAATGTTTATTGCTTGTTTTTTTGAGTTTATTATTGTTGTATTGTTATACTGTTGTTTTATTGATGTGTTGGGCCTCAGCCTCTTGTAAGCCACACCAAGTCCTTCTGGAGATGTTAGCGGGGTATAAATAAAGGTTTATTATTATTATTATTAGCCTCCTACAATACTTCCTCTGTACATGAGGCAGGGCATAGTGAGCAAGCATACAGATGCGGAGTTGCTTGTTCTGCTCCACAGTCACATAAGGAATGGGATTCTTTTAGGTGGTGCCATTTAGCCAGGTTGTCTTTTGATCTGCTCACTCCGCTTCTGAGTTTGTTCAGGGATTTCCAAGTGGCCCATTCTTGGTTTGCCCCTGGAAGAAGACCCTCCCTCTTGGGGGGCCATCCAGTTGGTATTTCATGGTTTAGCTGCCCAGAGGGATACCCTTGCTGTTGCTGGAGGGACGCCAAGAGGAGTGGTAGTTCTCATAAAGCTTGTCCTTGATTTCAGTCTACTGGGAGGAGGCAGGAAGCCATGTAGTGGGTGGCTTTCACAGGGTTCAACCTTATTTCTCTCACATTTAGCAGCAACTTCCCGTTTTAAACATTCGTATAAAGTACATATACATACATTGATATTGGAGCCCCTGGGTTAAACCACTGAGCTGCTGAGATTGTTGACTGAAAGATTGCAGGTTCGAATTCGGGGAGCGGCGTGAGCTTCCATTGTTAGCCTCAAATTCTGCCAACCTAGCAGTTCGAAAACATGCAAATGTGAGTGGATCAATAGGTACCACTCTGGAGGGAAGGCAATGGCACTCCCTGCAGTTATGCCTGTGGCCACATGATCTTGGAGGTGCCTACAGACAACGCTGAGCTCCACACCCCAGAGTCAGATACAACTGGACTTAATGTCAGGGAAAACCTTTACCTTTACTAAATTGATATTTATTGCATGGTGCAGTTGGTTAAACCACTGCGCTGCTGAACTTGCTGACCGAAAGGTCGCAGGTTCGCATCCGGGGAGTGGCGTGAGCTCCTTCTGTTAGCCCCAGTAGTTTGAACCTAGCAGTTCGAAAACATGCAAATGTGAGTAGATCAATAGGTACTGCTCCGGTGGGAAGGTAACAGCACTCCATGCAATCATACTGGCCACATGACCACTTCCTAAATAGAAAGCAGTTATGGTCAGGGAGCCCCTGGTGGCACAGTAGGTTAAACCACTGAGCTGCTGAGCTTGTTGACTGAAAGATTGCAGGCTCGAATCCGTGGAGTGGCGTGAGCTTCCGTTGTCAGCCTCAAGTTCTGCCAACCTAGCATTTTCATGGTTTCCTCCTTTATGTTGAAATTGTCCACATGCTTGTCAATGACAGTGGCATCTCTGTGTAGTCTGATGTGGTGGTTGTTAGAGTTGTCCAGCATTTCTGTTCTCAAATAGTGTCCAGGTTGGTTCATCAAGTGGTCTGCTGTGGCTGACTTCTCTGGTTGAAGTAGTCTGCAGTGCCTTTCATGTTCCTTGATTTGTCTCTGGGCAATGCTGCATTTGGTGATCCCTATGTAGACTTGTCCACAGCTGCATGGGATACAGTAGACTCCTGCAGATGCCTACCATAGATACAGGCGAAACGTCAGGAGAGAATGCTTCTAGAACATGGCCATACAGCCCGGAAAACACACAACAACCTTATTATTAGCACATTGCTTTTATCATAAGATTATTGTTATAAAAATCACATTACTTTTATCATAAGAATAGTATTAATAATAATAATAACATTACATTTTTCATATGATTATTATTAATAGCACATTCCTTTTATCATATTATTATTAATAATAATAGTAGCACATTTCTTTTATCCTAATAACATGATTATTAGCACATTTATCATAAGTTTATTGTTAATAATAACAACACATCACATTTATCATACAATTATTATTAATAGCACATTCCTTTTATCATATGATTATTATTTGCACATTACTTTTATCATAAGAATATTATTGTTATTAATAATAGCATATTGCTTTTATCATAAGATTATTATTATTATTAGCACATTACATTTATCATAAGATTATTACTAAGAGCACATTGCTTTTATCGTAATAATATTATTGTTTTTAATTGTACATGACCTTTATCATTAGAATATTATTACTATTATTATTATTATTATTATTATTATTATTATTTACTTTATTTGTATACCGCACTCTCTCAGCCCGTAGGCGACTCAGTGTGGTTTACAACCAGGTCAATATACAAGTGCACAACAATAGTATTAGCATTTAAAAAACAGTAACTAAAGCAACTAAATCACATAGCAAAACATCAGTATAACAATATAACAACAATACATCCATATAACTAATCCATCACGTCTCATCAATAAAGTCATAATCCGATCTCCTCGTCTATTATTCCAAGTTCCAAGTTCCAATCTCAATCAGTTGATTGCACTGCTTAATTAAACGCCTGTTCAAAGAGCCAGGTCTTCACTCTTCTCCTGAACGCCAGCAAGGAGGGGGCCGATCTGATGTCTGCGGGAAGGGCGTTCCACAGCCGAGGGGCCACCACTGAGAAGGCCCTGTCTCTCGTCCCCGCCAGCCGTGCTTGTGAGGCTGGCGGGATCGAGAGCAGGGCCTCCCCGGACGATCTTAATGTCCTAACTGGTTCATAGGGGTGATGCGTTCGGACAGATAGGTCGGGCCAGAACCGTTTAGGGCTTTAAAGGCTAAAGCCAGCACTTTGAATTGTGCCCGGTAGCAAATTGGCAGCCAGTGGAGCTGGCGCAACAGAGGAGTTGTATGCTCCCTGAGTGCCGCTCCTGTTAGCAACCTGCCGCTGGACCATCTGAAGCTTCCGAGCAGTCTTCAAAGGCAGCCCCACGTAGAGAGCGTTGCAGTAGTCTATACGGGATGTAACCAGTGCGTGGACTACCGTGCGTGGACTATCCTTATTAATAGCATATCCCTTTTATCATAAGATGATTATGATTAATAGGGCATTTATTATTATTATAAATATCAAATTGCTTTTATCATAATATCATAAAATGATATTATTATTAATATTTACAATTCTGGAGACCAGAGTTTGAAACTCAACTGGGAGATTTTTGGCAACTCAGAAGAAGGCCTTGGCAAACCTCTTCTGAATAGTAAACCTAGTCTAATAATAATAACAATAAACACATTTTATTACCGTAGTTATTTGCCTCTTCATTCAGCTCAAGTCCGGGCACAACGTAGTAAACATACAAGGATAAAACAAAGGACCAGAATACATATATTAATAATAATAAATTTTATTTGTGCTCAAGGCAAGATACAACACAGATAAAACAAAGTAATACACTTATAAATATATATCTATATTAAAATACATGGGACAAACCTTTATAAATTG